AGCCGCAAGACATCGCACACGCAGAGCCTCGCCGCCGTCCCGCCCGGCTGCCGAGCGAATGCGCTCACACACCGACGGGTGGCACCACGCGCTGCCCGCGCGGCCCCACAGGCGGCATGAAGGCGAAGCTCTACCACGAGCTCCTGCAGGTGGTGCCTCGGATCACTCGCAGATCACTAGCCTCCGCTCTCCCACCACCCCACAGCCCGCTGCTCCACCCTCCCCCACACCCCACGCCCGCTGCTCACACGCGCCTCTGCAGGCGGCCGACCTCAAGGGCGCCGCGGTGGGCAAGCGCGACGCCGTCCACAACCTCGCCATGGCCAACCAGGCCGCCGCCCACTTCCGCTGGCGAGCCTCGTCCGACAAGGCGGTCGGCGCCGTGGACATGGACCGGAAGGCGTTCCGGCCGGTCGGCGTGCGCTCGAATCGGCGCTACGCGGGGCCGCTGCGCCACTGACACCGGGAGGCACACTCGCCGAGCCTCGAGCCTCGAGCCCTGAGGCTCGCCACATCTCTGTGCCGCGTGCACAGAGCGGCGGGCCGGGGGGGGGCGTCTGACCTAGACCTGCTCGCAGTAAATCCATTAAAATAATGCCCTCCCCCCCCCCCCCTCTCCCCCAGCAGCTTCCTCGAGGCCGAACAGGTAGATCCTCCCTGATCGCTAAGCTACCACAGGGGGCGGCCAGGTTCGTAGTAGACGTAGTCCGCCGCCGCCTCCGCCACCCGCGTGCCTCCGCCCCGCTCAGCATTATATCAGGAGGTGCCACCAGCAGCATCTCAAGGAAGCAAGCGCCGCGCCTTTTGCCGCCGCGCGCCGCCGCCGCGCCGGCTGGCTCCCGGTTCGAAATCGTCCTTCGCGGAGCGAACACGGCGACGCGGGCGCTCACGCGCGCGCGCGCAGCTCGGGTGGGTGCGCGGCGGCGACCGGCGCAACCCTCGTTTGAACTTGTGTACTCTCTGTCTGTCTGTCAGCTGTTTCGGCTAAGTCGATTTGTACCGGATTTCGATGTTAGTGGCAAAACCGCGGAACCGAAAATGGCGTTTAATTTCGCGCACCTGCTGTCCGCCGCCTGCGGCGGCACTCCGTGCCGCTTGGGGCGCCTGCGGCGCCCTCGGGCGCGCTGCGCGCGCCTGTTTTGGGGGGGGCTACCAGCACCGAAAAAATAAAGTGTTTGAGGGCGGTCATCGGGTTCCCTTGCTGCTGTCCTGGCCGGCTGGCGGCGTGGGCGCGGGAGCCGCCTCCTCCGACCTCGTGGGACTGGTGGATCTGTACGCGACGCTGCTCGATCTCGTGGGCGCGCCGCCGCCGGCGATCGGGCAGGCTGTCGACAGCGTCAGCTTCAGGCAGCGGCTGCTCGCGCCGCGTGCCCAGGAGCGCCAGCCAGGAGCACTCGCACGGGGCTCACTGGGCGACGAGCCACTGGGCGAGCTACACTTGGACGAGGGTTCGTAGCGGCCCGTCGGCAGCGCGCTGGAAGCTACTTGGGCGACTCTCGGGACGGGCGGCTCGTCGCGTCGGCCCTGTTTGAGCTGGCCTCCGATCCCGGGGAGGACTCCGACCTGCTCGCGCGCGGGCGAGATCATCCCTCGTGGGCGGTGCACTGCCGAGTGGTTGGCCGCATGCTCGGGGGCGAGGCGCGCAAGGGGCTCGTGTGCGTGCGAGAGCAGGAGCGCGACCATCAGTGCCGCGGCTGGGGCCCGAACACGCAAGCCGAGCCGATGCTGCCGCATTTTTGTGGGGGGTGACACTTCTTGTCTCTTCATTTATTCAATAGCTCTTCCAGACATCGGGCGGTCTCCCGTCCATGTCCGTGCCGGAGGTGAAGGTGAGGGCGCATAATACCTTTGAACGAATCCCCCCAGGGGCGTCCCTCAGCCTCACTCGCTCCACTCCTCGTCACAATCTCAATATATCTCGCAGCTCGTCTACACCGCCGCGCTGCCGCTAACCGCCGCCGATGGCTCCTGCGTACTCCGCCTCGATCGATCCTGTATGCACCGTGTTCAAGAAATCTCTCTCTCTCTCACCGTCTTGGTAAGGTAAGGTAAGGTAAACTTCTCCACACACACGAGGTGGTGGGGCAAGGGGGGGCAACCCTCGCGTCTCCACGTCTGACGACAGGAGCCCCACGGCATTCAAAGTGCAAGGCCCAGTGCGCGTGGGTGAGCGGTGTGTGTGTGTGTGTGTGTGTGTGTGTGTGTGTGTGTGTGTGTGTGTGTGTGTGTGTGTGTGTGTGTGTGTGTGTGTGTGTGTGTGTGTGTGTGTGTGTGTGTCTCACGTCACTGCATCCTCCGCCGGTTCCTCCCGTCGCCTCTTCTTTGTTCGAATGTTTTTCAATCCATCCTTCACGAAGCCCTCCCATGTAGCTAGCGTTCTTGGCGAATGTCTCGAAATGGCCAGCAGGCGCTGTCTGCTCGCGGTCTGTGCGGGCCGCTCGTCCTCCTCGCCCTTCTTTCGTCCTCCCGTCCCTCCCCTCCACCATGGCCTTCTCGGCACTTCTTTCTCCATCCGCCTCGCCCTGCCTTTTCGCATCGTGCCGTTCGCCCTCCATTCGGTGACCTCCATGGCTGTCCGCCCCTTTTTGGGTGGCGCTCTCGATACGGTTGCGTCAACCTCGACGTCGCTGTCGCCCTCCCCGTCCCCGCCGGCGTCCGTGCCTCGGTTCGCGTCATCGGTAGCGTCTCCGTTGTTCCCTCGTGCCCCGCCGTCGCCCTCTCTGCTCGGGCCGTTAGCGATTTCGCTCCTCCTGCGTGTCGCCCCTCCGTCCCCTCCCCTTTCTTCGTCGTCATCGTCGCTGTCGCGAAAGCCCTCCGGTCCCTCGATTCCCTCGCCTATCCCCTCCGCTGCGTCGTCCCAGTTTATATCCTCATCCTCTGCGCACGTCGCGTTGGCTTCCTCTCTCCCCCTTTCCTCCCTGCCCCTCTCGCTGTCTGGTGTTCATGGACCCCCTTCCTCTCCCTCGCCACCGTCACCGTCTCCATCCCCGTCGCTGCCGCCCTCCATGCCCGCCGCCCTTTGTTTCTCACTCGTCTCTGCCATGTCCGCCGTCGCCGCCGTCCTGTCTGCTGCGCTCTGTGCTCCGTGGTACAGTCGCTTATTGTTGCTCAGGATTAGCTCACGCACCAGGACAGCCTCCTGCTCGTTATTTTGGCTACCGTCTTGGGATGACTCCCCCTCCAATGTGAACACCCGAGGGGTCCCGTACCATGCGGAATCGACCCTACCTATACAGTACTCATGAGTGAGTGAGTGAGTGAGTGAGTGAGTGACACACACACACACGTTCTCAAGTGAGACGGTGAAAGCGGCCCACCTTCCTTCAGCTCCAACCTCCTTCAGCTCCAACCTCCTTCAGCCCAACCTCCTTCAGCCCAACCTCCTTCAGCCCAACCTCCTTCAGAAGTGCAGGCCTGAGTGCGGCGAAGAGGGGGGCGGCCCCAGCAGCTACAGCAACAAGTGCATCTGCTTCAAGCAGTCGGGCAGCTCCACGAGCTGCGAGGGCCCTGCGGGCTGCGGCGAGCCTGCAACGGCGGCGGGGTCCGCCCATGCTAGCGGGAAGCGGAAGATGCCGATGGTCGGGCGGCAGCCGCCCTTGGGCGCGCCATTGCGGTACCCGGGAACCTCGTCACACATGGCGTGGTCGACGGTCGTGCAGAGCGGCGCGCTCAGCTGGAAGGGCGCCGCGTGCAAGTTCATCTCGCGATATTGGCCAAAGTCGATGTTCGTGTTGACGGGCTGGGACAATAAGGATGGGTTGGGGTAGGGCCAGTTGTCGGTGACGAGGAATGCCGCGCCGATGGCGTTCCAGCTGCGCAGCACTGAGAAGATGAACTCGTTGGGAGTGTGGATGAGCATGTGCTTTGAGACGATCACGTCGAAGTGGTTGGCGAAGTCGCTCATGCGTGTCAGGTTGCCCACATCGGCTACCTGGAACGGGAGCACTGTCACATTAAGCTCCGCAGCCGGCGGGTGCTGCGGCGGCGGCGTGGGCAAGCCGCCCGCCCCCGCGACCCGCGCGTTGAGCTTTGCGACAACGCTCTCAACGACGTCGACGCCCTGGTAGATGAGCGACACGCGCGCCTCGCTCGCGATTTTCTGGAGGCACGAGGGCATCCACGTCCAATCGCCACACGGCGTGTCGAGGATTTTGACGCCGGTGTTGAAGCGGCGCGCACGAGCACGCCGCATGACGACGGCGCGCTTCAGCACGGCGCACGTCGTGGTCGTCGCCTTGAGCGTGGAGCCGGCGCCTGAGCTCGGGTGCTTGTTTTTCCCGGCCCACAACTTGGTCGCATACACCTTGTTGAAGGCCGCCGACGCGTCGGCGGCAATGGCGACCGCGTTGAGCGAGGCGAGGACCACGAGTTTGTGGACGTGCATTGTTGGGCGACGTCTGGGGGTACAGATTGTGGAGGGGACAAAGGGGGACAGCTTTGGAAGGGGGAGCCTGCCTCTGACAATGGCCCCATCTCAACCCACCGTCGCTAAGCCGACAAAGGCGTACTTGGCAGAGAGGAAGAAGGTCCGCTCCGCCCTTGTCGCCCGTATCCGCGCCCCTGCTCCTCCGCCTCCATCTCCCCCGCGCGGCCGCCGCTTTCGCACGCGCGACCGCCGCCGCCTCGCCTTCTCCACCCTTACCGCCCCCCGCCCTCCGCCGCGACGTCCGCCGCCGCCCCTCCTCAGGCATACGGCGACGACGCCGTCAAGAGCCGCCATCACGGCGACGATGACGGACACCCCATCGCCAACTGCCTCACGGGCCTGAAGAACGCGACCGAAGAGTACCTCCTCTCGCTCAGCTTCGTTTCGTACAAGGGCCCGCCGAAGAAACTGCGCTGGGGTCTCCTAACGCTGCTGCGCAACCTCAAGAAGGACGAGAAGGCGCTGCGGATACTGATGCTGGGCCTGGACAACTCGGGCAAGACTACAGCGCTCAAGCAGCTGGCGGGGGTGCCAGCGACACTCGTGCACCTCCCGTCTCCGTGGTCGGTCGCCCGCCAAATCACCGCATCGGGGCTGCGGATCGTAGGAGGATGTCAGTCAGATCACGCCGACGCAGGGCTTCAACATCAAGTCGTTGCAGCAGGCGGGCTTCAAGCTGAATGTGTGGGACTTCGGCGGCCAGAAGCACATCCGCTCCTACTGGAAGAATTACTACCAAAACACAGACTGTGTCATCTATATGGTGGACTCTGTTGATAAGCGGAGGACTGACGAGGCCGCGGAAGAGCTTGTGAGCCTCGCCGAGCCCGTCCCTGCCTTTGCTCCTATCGCCGCCACTACATCGCATCGCATCGCAAGCGTATTGAGTGGTGCCCTGACCTCGCGCAGATGTCCCTGCTAGAGGAGGAAGAGCTCAAGAGTGTAGCTGTGCTGGTGTTTGCCAACAAGCAGGATCTGTTGGGCGCTATGAGCGCGGCGGAGGTCATGAAGGAGCTCGAGCTAACCAGCCTGAAGGACAGGTGGGTGCACGTGCAGGCGCGAGGCGCACCCCCTTGACCGACCTACCCTTCTTTACTCGTCCGTCCACGGGTTGTTCACATTTCATTTTTGCTGCTCTAGGCCTGCTCGGCAAAGACGGGCTCGGGCCTGGAGGACGGGCTGACAGAGCTCATGAGAGCATTTGACAAATCGGAGTGAGAAAAAACTCAATTTAAGTTTTTCACAAAGTCAATAGTCATATTTAAAGTAAGTCTTGGCAGCTTCTTTTGCGCACCGCGGTTTTTTGTGTGGAGACGTTTACCTTACAAGATACTTACCTTATACAGATGGTGGAAGAGCCATGCGCCATTGCTCACGCGCCGGCGCTCCCGGGAGGCAACTCGCAAGACGAGCGAGCGCTCAAACCCGCCGTCGTGGCAAGAGCGGGACCCCCCCCCTCCCCACACGCTTTCTCCCGTCTCCCGATGCACACACACCCCTCCCCCTCCCACCCACCCTCGGCCCTCCTGCCCCGTGAGGCGTGAGAGCTAGCTCTCACCGCGCGCCGCGCCGCCTAACCGCTCGCCAGCCGCGCCGGCGGAGGAGGCAGACTCGACCTGAGGGGCGGCGAGAAGCGGATTACACGAGGTTGCCCGAGATTGCACGAGACTGGGCGGCGCGGAGGCCGGCGAGGCGAGGGGGCCACAAGCAACCCGGCGGGTCCACTTTTGAGTCCTCAATTCATTGGTTGAGGCGAGGGGGGGAGAGGGGTGCGGCGGTCTCTCCGCCGCCTCTCGGTGGCCTCTCGGCGGCCTCTCGGAGCATATACCGACGATTCGTGGTGGAGGGCCGGCGGCATAGCCTCGCCCGGCGTCTCGTCCGACGCGGGAGGATGTGCCGCCCCAGCAGAGGCTCCAGGGGGCTCCTCCCCCCCCTCCCCTCCCCCCGCAGCCTCGCCTCGACACTGCCCCTCCGCGCCGAACGCCTCGCCGCGAATCGCACCCCCCTCCACGCCCACGCCCTCCACGCACACGCCCTCCGCCTCCCCGCCCTCCGCCTCCCCACTGCCCTCTGCGCCGCCCCCCTCACCGCCCCCCTGGCGGCCCCCCTCGCCGCCCCCCTCGCCGCCGCCCTCCCTCGGGCGGTGTCTCGGAAGCGTCTCGGAAGCGTCGCCCCCTTCCCTCGAGAAGGAGGAGAAGGACGACATCTCGACGAGCGGAGGCACCGCCGGCGCACCCGACATCTCGCGCACGGGCATCGGCACCGAAGGCAACGCCGCCGCCGCCGAAGTCGCGCCGCCGCTGTTCACTCTCTCCTCCGCCTCGGCCTCCTCTGCCTGCGCAGCCATCAGCGCGGCGGCGGCGAGCGCCTGAAGCATTCAACAAGCCGTGGCTGACTCCAGTGCAATCTCGTGCAATCCCGTGCAATCTCGTGCAATCTCGCCTCAAATCCGAGCTCAGAGCAGATGCGGCCCTCGCTGCCCACCCTCCCAAACAGGGGCCGGGCCTCGGAGCGGTCTGGCGCGCGGGGGGGGCTTCCGCCGAACGGGACGACGACCGCCGAAACTCCGCCGGCCGCTGCCGAAACTCCGCCGACCGCCGCCGATGCTCCGCTGGCGGCCGCCTCTCTTCCAGAGGCTTGGGTATGCCGCGGGAGCGAAGGAGCGCTGGTCGCGACGCCGCCGCCGCCCTGGCCGAGGCCCGCTGCCGCCACCGCGTCGGCGCTTGCTCGCTGGTCAAGCTTTGCAAGGCAGACGTGCCCTCGCTTCGGGGCGCCGCAGCGCTGGCACCGATTCTTGGACGCATGCCCAGCCTCGCGCAGCTTGCGCCCCTTCTCGATCCGCTGCCAGCGGTTGCGCACGGACGAGACGGACCGGCCTGCGCAGCGAGGGCTCGCTCAGGCCAGAGGTACGAGCTCCCTTGCTCCTCCTTTTGTGAGGCGGCGGCGAGGAGCGAGCGGTGGGGAAGACGCTGCCAGATGTCATGGAGAGCAGCGACGGCGGCGCGGACGGTGCTTGCGGGAGGCGAGAGGGGCGCACGCGCCTGGCAGCGAGAGCACGATGCGAGACCACTTTGGGCCCAGCTCGCCGAGCAGTCGCAGGATCGTTCTGTCCTCCTCGGGCTCCCACGCCCGCATATGCTCGTGCACGCCGCCTGTCATAGCGCGCCTGTGGATGGGAGGAGCGGGGTCGGTCGCGCCGTCGCGCAACTCGCGCCTTTCTGTAGAGGTCGCCTTGCGTCTCGGCGTGCACAGGTCGCGAAGCAAGCACCGAAAACGTAAGAAAGCGGTGGCGTTTTTCTTTTTATTTTAAAGCAGAACGCCGGGTTTGTAGGTAAAGAATTACGAGATTTCGCGGTATACACGACCTCAGAGCGTCACACACTCACGTCATCTAGCTCCCCAGTCACCACAGTATCCGTGTAGCTCTACGTCTAGCGCTTGGCCAGCCCTCCCACCCTATCCGGATCTTGGCCTCTCCCGAGTCGGTCGTACTCCTATCAGCCACGCGCCCCCTCGCCCCCCTCCCACTCCTGCGACCAGACCTCGATCTTCTTGGGCAGCAGCTGGTCCTGCAGGCAGGTCGCCGTGGCCCAGCTCGCCTGAGGCTCCCCTGCCCCAGCTCCAGACGGCGCCGTCGGCGGTGAGAATGAGGTTGTGCACGTCTCCAGCCGACACAGCGACGACGCGCTGGCCAGCTAAGGCCTCGGTCTTCTTGGGCAGCAGCTGCACCTGTAGGTTGCCGTGGCCAGCTCGCCAAAGAGTCCACTGCCCCGGAGGGACACGGCCGTGTTGGGCGCTGGGCGCTCCATTTCCGTTTGGCAGCTATAGGTCGCCTCAGGGCCCTCCCCTCCCGGCGGAGCAGGGCGGGATAGGCGCCAAGCGGGAGGGAGCGGACGACGGGGTGGAACGCACAGAGAGGAAAGGTCGGCATGAGCGGGATGTGCGCCGTATAACCAAAAGCACCTACCTACGCGGGGGTGCCGGCCGGTGCCGTTTTGGCGCCAGGGCGACACAACTCCGCGAAAATTCTTGTTTTGGACCACCAAGAGCTGGCTGGGGCTGCAGAAGCAGCGCATCTCAGCCGTTCTTCACACGGCCATCGCAGAGCAGATTGTGAATGAGCTTGCCAGCGGCGGGGGCGGTCGAGTGCACGGAGCTAAGTGCCTCGCCGTCCTCGCGGCAGTCGCTTAGGCGGCTCCAGTGGTGTACCTGTGTTAGTGCCAGTGCGCGCCAGTCCCGTGCCCAGTGTTGTGCGACAGGCGAAAAATTCTTGTTTTGCGCTCGACTCGCCGGGCTGTGTCCACCCTGTGTCACCGCCGCACGCGCTGAGCCATCTTGTGGCCTCGAGTGGAGGTTTGTCTCTCATGCCGGCGAAGGTCCTGCTTATTGCCTCTGTCCTTGTCGTGCCCGCACAGGCTCCGCCACCGACGATTCACCCGGACTGCAATGTTGTGTGCGTTGGCGTCCCCTGCGGGACGTTCTACGACACCACTTGCTCAGATCAAGCGGTAAAGTTGCCATCGTGCAACTGCGGGAATTGCTGTCGCCCAGACCCGCCCGCCACCCAAGCGGTCGCCGCTCACGCAACGCCCGCTGCTCAGACGCCGGTCTTCACCACGCGTGGGCCCAACAGTGTGGTCCTCTGGCAGCCTCCTGGCCCGGGCCGCAAGGCTGGCGCGTGCGCTGGGCCGACGACGATGCAAGCGGATCCCATCTGGCAGGCGGTGACGATCGCCGAGTGCCAAGAGTACTGCGGTGCGCGCCTGACTCTATAGATAGAACCTCGCGCCCACCCCACCCCAAACTCTCGACCACTCTCACGCAAAGTTTAGCTCTCGACATTGAATGCGTCGCGATCGAGTTCACGGAGTTCGTCCCAAAGTGGCAGCGCTTGTACGCACGAGAGTATGCACGCTGCATGGCCATCGACTTGCCCTCCAAAGTCACGCACGTCTTGCCGCGTCCCGACGGCGCTCGCTGCCTCGTCAAGCCGGCGCGCGCTCTGCGCCTTCGCCTGCTTCGCCAATCCGCCATCTCCGCCTCTTAGCACTACGATCTCCTCCACCATTCTCTCCTCCGACCCCTGCAGACGCGCGGTCTCTGCCCTCCCCCAACGCGCACTTGCCCGTGCTGCTGGCTCGCCGGGCCCGGCGTCGATTTCAAGTACGGCAGCACGCCATGCGCCGAGCTGCAGAACGCCGACTCAGCAACATGAACCTCGAAGGCACGTGACGTCCATGCAAGCGCCACCGCCCGCGCGGGCCTGGCACGTGGAAACCCCTAATACGCCCCCTCGCCCGCGCAAGGTGCCAAACTGGACGGCGTGGACATGCAGTGCGCCAAGCTGGACGGCGCGTCGCTCAAGGGGGCCAGCTTTGGCGGCGCGAATCTCAAGTCTGTCAGCTTCGTCGGCGCCAACCTCGACGGCGCCGACTTCACCCAGGCCGACGCCAACTTTGCAGATTTCAAGGGGGCCAACCTCATGAACGCGAAGTTTCTTGAGGCCACCGTTGAGAGGGCCAACTTCAAGGGCGCCCTGGGACTGCAGTTTGCCGAGTTCGCGGGAGCAAACGGGATCGATCTCGCCACATGGGGCCCCGGAGGCGTCGCGGGACGAGGGGCGCTGCCTCCCCCGCCCCCGCCTTAGACCGCCCACCCACTATAGGGAGGGGTGGAAGAAATGTGAAGATTCGGATTTGTGAATAGTATTTGCACGCGCCAGTTCGCACCTGTGTCGAGCCTGTCTGCTGGGCAAGAGATTTCTTTTGTTTAAAAATTCCTATTTGTGAAGCCTCTTCTCGACTTTTTTCGCGAGCCACAGGCGCTCCAGCTGCAGGCGCTCGCTGTGAGCCACAGCGCCTCCGGACAGCGTGCCGAGCGCCTGCTACAGGTTTGCCTGCAGCCCAGCCGCACTCGCTGCGGCGGCAGCTAGTCGGTTCGGCCTGGACTCGCGCGCGCCGAGATGGGAACCCAACACACGGCGCGTCGACCCGCCTCCGCTTTTGCAACAAAGTCTGCTTGGCTTGTGCAGGTGATGCCCAGAGCAGCAGAGACGACGCCGGCAGCCTCGGCTCGACCTCGAAGGCGGATCTCGTGGCCAAAAACCTGTGCTCTATTCGTCGGTGGTTCACCGTACACGCCTGTGTAGGAGCGGCTCTCGCGTCGCTCGCGCAGCGCTGGTTGTTGTCGAGACGCTCGCCGGCCTGAGCGGCGCGGCGGCTGCGAACCCCGCGCCCACACTCTTGTTCCTCCTGGGCGGCGAGAGCACCGGCCACCACCTGCTGACCGCCGTCCTCGACCACAGCGCACGCAACAGCCCGAGCAGCGGGCTGTGCCACCTCAACGAGACTGGTTCCCTCTCCGATCAACTATCAATTCTCTGGTCTACTCGAGAGGCTTTCTCGTGGCGGGAGGCAAAGATGAAGGCGCAAGTGTACGTGAATCAGCTCGCGCAGATGAAAGGGCTGTGCCATACGTTTGTGGTGCCTGATTGCGTACACAGCTGCCTATCGTACCCCTTTGGCGGAGGATGGAAAACGTCAAATGACTCGGTGATAGGCAAGGACGCACTGGCACGCCCGGACCTCGCTGTCCTCTGGAACATGACCGCTGCGGCAGGCGTGGAACTCAAGGTGCTTGCCTCGTACCGCAACCCGCTCAGCGCATATCTTGCCCGTCCCAGCAGACATACAGATGCGATGCTGGGTGTGTGGAGGGCAAAGCTCGTGCTCGCATCGAACTCCTACATGCAAAGTGAGCTCGCGAGCATGGCGGCGTTGCACGTCAAATTCTGCGTCGTTAGCTTCGAGTCCCTTTGCGGTGCGAACCGCTCCAACGTCTCGCACCGCATCGCAAGCTTCCTCTCGGTGGGAGCGTCGCTGCTGCAGGCGTCGATGGTCGCCGTCACTCGGCCTTGTGCCCGCCCAAAGTGGCATCCCGGAGATGGCAATGAGGAGGTGGCACGCCTGATGCTGACCGGCGCGGAGGCACGCTGGCCGCTGCTTGCGAGCGGACACGCGACGAGTCGCACAAGCTTGAAATGAATTGATACCATCTCGCGGAAATGATCCGAGGCTTTGCGCACCCCCGGACATCCACTGGCTCGCCGCCGCCTCCCCCATGCGCGCGTGCCTCGCTTAGGCGGGACGCACGCGTGCACCGCCACGCACCCGGCCAACAAAGCCACGATGCCGCCCATAAAGACACGAGGTCCGAGTTGTCATGGGTCAGCGGCGCAATGTAAAAAGCCTACTGCGGTAAATATTAGGTCCTCGGGTGCAACCAGCGGCTCGGTCCGATCAGTAGTCATGTTTGGCACTTCAAATCGACCGGTCTCGAGTAGTGAGGCGCTCGTTATACCCACTTTAACTCCGAAAAACGTGTGGAAAATCGACAGCATTTTTCTGCGGTGCAACCCGTTGCGCGCGGCGCGGCACCGTTTTTGACCGCCTTATTACACCCAGAGCCCGGATGTTATGTGTATCTCCAGAATGATATACGCGCGCCTATTGGGACGGTTAGTCCCTCAGGATCACGAGATACGCGCCTGAGTGTAATCTCGCGCAATCTCGAGGGGCCCTATATACCCGCTACCCCTGTCGGATCCCTTGGATCCCTTGGAGTGCAGTCAGCAACCGCACATCCAGGGCCCTTGCCTCCCTTTTTCGTAACAGGAACATTTTTTCTTCAATATATTACGTTGTGTCCTGTACTCAAAAGCATGTGCAGTCAACGCTCGAACCACCCTCCTTCCCCTCTAGCCTCTTACTCGACTCGGCCCGGCCTTACCTTAAGGTACCTGTCCATGTCCGATTGCCGGGGCCACTCCCCAGCACAGTGCAGCAACGATAGCGCACAGCAGCGGTCCGGCGACAGTAGGAGCCCGGAAGCGACGTAGGCGCCCTTCGCATAGCTCACGAAACGATGCAGCTGCGCCGCTGCAGCCAAAGAAGCCCAGGCACGGCGCAGCTACCGCCGGCGCAGCCACCGCCACGCGGCCACTAGCCCCGGCGAGTTGCGGGGAGATGGGAGCGCGCTGCTGCGCGATCCAGACGCGAGCTGCGGGCGCGAGATCGGCGCGAGATCGGCGCGAGATCAGCGCGAGATCGAGGTCGGGTCCTCCGAGAACTGGCGGAGCAGCGCGATCGCCGTGGCCATGGCGACCCGCCCCTCGATGCGCAGCGCCCACCAGATCAGCAGCCCGACCAGCGCGACACGCATCAGATTCGTGACGACGGCGCCGATAGTTGCGAGCTCCATGCGGTGCGGCAAGTTGGCCTCGATCGCCTTCTCGTACTGGGCGATCAGCTCCGTCGTCGCGTCACGCCAGCTCGCCTGGGTTACCATAGATTCCCCAAGATTCCCCAAGATTCCCCCAAATCCGCCGAGATCCGCCGAGATCCGCCGAGATCCGCCGAGATTCGCCTTGACAGGCTCCTCGCGCAGCCGCTGCTTCGAGCCGGGCGTGACCGCGGCCGCCAGCGACGAGAGCAGCCCCGCCGCCTCGCCGTGGTTGTACATCCACTCGGCGGGCAGCCTCGCCTCCCACAACTCGTCGAAAACGGAGCAGTGCGGCAGCACGGCCGGGGTGCCGCACGCGAGCGCCTCCAGCACGGTGAGGCCGTACGTCTCCGACGTGCTGCACGTGACGAACGCGTCCGCCGCGCGGTACAGCGGCGGCAGCCGGTCATTCTTCACGTTGCCGGTAAAGGTGACGGGCAGCGCGTGCCGCTCGGCGAACGCCGCGAGCTCTCTCCTCGCCGGGCCGTCGCCTACAAAAAAGAAATACGCGTGGGGCCGCCGATTTCTTTTTTTGAGCTCTCTCCTCGCCGGGCCGTCGCCCGCGATCACCACGTGCAGCCTCCGCCCGCTCGCGAGGAGCACCGGCGACGCGCGCCCCGCCCCGCCGCCTCCCGCCCCGCACCGGCCGCCCTTGCAGCCCGCCTCCTTGGCGGCGGCGAGGGCGGCGGCGCCGTCCCTCTGCTGCAGCAGCGCCTCGAGCAGGTGGTGGGCGTCCTTCTCCGGCGCGAGACGCTGCACCATCAGGCAGATCGCGTCGCCCGCCGCCGCGCCGCACAGCCGCTCCAAGTCGCGCCTCTCCGCCACCAGCTGCTCCGCAGAGTCCACCTGTGCCGCACGGCTAGTCGATCTCCCCACCTCTCCCCACCTCTCCCCACCACGGCTAGTCGATCTCCCCACCTCTCCCCACCTCTCCCCACCTCTCCCCACCTCTCCCCATCTCTCCCCACCTCCCCACCTCTCCCCACCTATGCCCCCACCTCTGCCCACCTCTCCCCATCTCTCCCCACCTCTGCCCCTCTCTCCCCATCTCTCCAGCGTGTCTCGTCACGGCAAGTGCTAGACTGTCTCCCCAGATCTCCCCACATCTCCCCACATCTCCCCACATCTCGTCACAGCATGCGCTGATGTGCTGCGGTGGCCAGCGCAGACGGCGAGTGCTCTTCATGCATCTTGACGCACCTTGAAGCGCGCGTCGGCGACGCCGGACGGGATGCGCATCCGCATGCAGCCCGGCGCCTTGTGCGGCACGTGCGAGTCGAGGAAGCACAGGGTGGGCGCTGCGTTGACGGAGGCGTGGCGGGCGGCGGGCAGCTTGCAAAAGAGCCAGTACGACAGGTTGCCGAGCCACGAGATGGAGGCGGCGTACTGCTCGATGTAGTACTCCATGTCGACGTGGTGGGAGCAGTAGACGGGGATGCGCCGCCAGTTGCAGACCGGCACGATGGCGGGGCCGATGATGGAGGGGTAGACCAGGTGGACGATGTCCCACTGCTTAGCGCCGAGAGCCTGCGGGGTGAGTACGCCAACCTCAGGGCGGGGGGACGGGAGAGTGTGCGGTGTACTCCGAGCGATGGTTGAGTACGAGGAGCTGCGAATGAGCTGTGAAGACGGCGCACCCGTGTCCTCTCGAGCGCCGCTTGGGAGACAAGAGTGCGTCTTCCGCTTCTACGCTGCGCAAGCCCACGCGAGGCGAAGGCCGGGGAGATGTGGGGAGATGTGGGGAGATGTGGGGAGATGTGGGGCGATATGGCTGAGGGGTTCAACGACCATGCAGGCTGCGTCTTCCGCTTCTACGCTGCGCAAGCCCACGCGAGGCGAAGGCCTACCAGAAAAAAGAAAATCCCGCGTAGGAAAAAAGAAACCCCGCCTCGCAAGCCCACGCGAGGCGGAGGCCGGGATTGTACGCCATGCAGTTGGACGTGTTGAACGGGTTGATGATGGCGGGCATGTTGGGGTGGTCGAAGGAGGTGAGCCGCTGCCGGTGCAGGTTGGTCGAGTAGACCTGCACCTCGTGCCCCGCCTGGCGCCACGCGCGGAACGCGTGTGCGGCCGAATCCGGTGTGTGGCTGTCGTTGCTACTGCAGTGCGCACCTGGCGCATGTGCGTGATGTAGTGCGAGAAGCGGATGGCGATGCCGTGCGTCTGCGGCGGGGTGTAGTCGGTGATGATGAGGATGCGCAGGTTCGTCTTCTTCTCGTACGACGACGTCGTGTTGAGCATCCGCGCGCAGTTGCGCAGAAACTGGGCGACCACAATCTGCAGCCGAGGCCGGGTGGGTGGCGGTGAGAAAGAGTGAGGCGGCGCCGGCGCAGGCGAGGGAGGAGGCGCGCGCCGCCGCCGTACCGCGGTTGTGGCGGGGAGGGAGGGAGGGCGGCGCAGGCGCGCAGGTGCGATGGAGCGAGAGGGCGAGAGGCATGCTCGGACAGCGGCGGCGGCGGGCGGCGGCGGCGGTGGCGGCGGCGGCGGCTGCTGCTTTGACCGGTCAGCGCTGATATGTGCGGGGCTGCGGCTGTGAAGATAGACGCCGGCGGCGGTGCGGTGCGCGCCGTGAAGAAGGAGAGCGCGGCGCGAGGGAAGTAGATGAGCATCACGAGCGGGAGCTGGCCGAGCGAGCGGAAGGTGCGCCAGTGCTGGGAGAGGCGGTGGCGGAGGCTCTGAGAGGTTGCGTCGTCGAGGGCCTCGACCTCGCTGTCCGACGGGCTGCGCTGGATGCTCATGAGGAGCCTCGGCGTCAGCGAGCGGAATCACCCAAGTCGGCAAGAAGAAATCACTCGAGAACTGCAAAGCCGCGCGGCTTTTTTTTCTCGCCGCGCGCCATTTCATGACCTCCCACCGCATCGGCGCGCGCGTCGCGGGCCTCTCGCCAGAGCAGCTGTGCGCCATCATCGAGGCGCAGGCGGGCGCGAGCGACGCCGCGCTGCGCGTGGCGGAGGAGCACGCCGCTCGGCTCGTGGAGCAGCCCGAGTGGGTCCTCTCCGAGGTCCTTCTCTCGCCGGACCTCGCCCCGCACATCCTCGCCCAGCTGCCGACCAAGGATCACGCCGTCAAGGGGACGTGCCGCGCGTGGCGCCGCGGCTGGAAGGAGACGCTGAAGAAGCGCGAGAGGCCGCGCATGCTCGTGATCGGCGGCCAAGGCAGCGACTACGAGCTTGTCAACTCGCTGGAGCGGTACGACCCGTCAACGAATGAGTGGGAGGGAGAGGCTGTCGCGCCGATGCCGACGGCACGAAGGTATGTCGGCATGGCGGTGCTCGATGGCAAGCTCTACGCGGCGGGCGGCGATGACGTGGCTGACGGCGCAACTTCCAACCTGGTGGAGCGGTACGATCCGGCGACGAACGCGTGGGAAGCGGTGACGCCGCTGGCAGATGCGCGGTATGCTCACGGCATGGCGGTGCTCGACGGCAAGCTGTATTCGGTGGGCGGACAGGATACCAATTACCACGCCCTCAATTCAGTCGAGCGGTACGACCCTGCGGTGGGCGCGTGGGAGGCGGTGGCGCCGATGACGACAGCGCGGGAGTCTCACGCCGTGGCGGCGCTCGACGGCAAGCTGTACGCTGTGGGAGGCCACAACCACGACGACGGCTCCCTCAGCTCGGTGGAGCGGTACGACCCGTGGACGGATGCGTGGGAGGCGGTGGCGCCGATGGCGACGGCACGGGACTCTCACGCCACGGTTGTGGTCGACGGCAAGCTGTACGCGGTGGGAGGCTGCAACGACGACGACGGCTTCCTCAGCTCAGTCGAGCGGTACGACCCGGCGACGAACGCGTGGGAGGCGGTGGCGCCGATCGTGACGGCTCGGTGTAATTTTGCCATGGCGGTGCTCGACGGCAAGCTGCATGCGGTGGGCGGGTACAACGGTGACGATCGGCGAGAGGAACCGCTCAGCTCGGTCGAGCGGTACGACCCGGCAGTGGGCGCGTGGGAGGCGGTGGCTCCGATGGCGGCGGTGCGGATTAAGGCTTTCGCTGTCTTGATGTAGTCGCCGTTGTGTGCGTGCTATAGTCGTACGGGGTGTGGAGGGTGAGTTGACCAGGGGTTGTGCGCTGGGCCCTCCTGCTCGGCTCCAGCGAGTAGACAAGTGTTGTCATCAACAGAGTAGATGTATCTGACCTCGGGGCCGATGTGACCAAGCGCTGGTAGCGTGGTTTTACCTCACACCCATGGTCTCACAGTGTGCCGGCAGTCGCCGAGCAGTGTCGCTCACACAAGCCGCAGCACAAGTGACTGAGGGCCAGTGAGGGCGAGCCCATCGCTGTCACGGCTGTGCCAACTGTGCAGAGTGTGTGAGCAGCAGAGGAGCTGCTCTCCAGGCTTCTGTCGCAAAGAGCTGCATGCCACCGAAGGCGCTGTCGCTCTGGGGGGGCGCGGGGCCCCCCGGAGGCACCGTGCGCCGTGCAGCAGTGCGGAAACGGGGCTCCGGCTCCGTTAGTCTCCGTTAGCACCGACTTCCCGATTAAGCTAGGTTAATCAGAGGGCAGATTTGGAGAGATCTCGAGGAGTACATACAGACAGACCCTCCAACCATCAGAAAACTCCGACCTGATCGGTCGTACTGACCGCCGACAGATCACTCCAGACAGCAGACAGGCCGACGTCTGCACGCGGCCGGCCGGGCGAGAGGCTTGACACGATCCGACCCTGCGAGACCCTGACGCTGCTGCTCTAGCTATCAGACATGCGCTGCTGACTGCTGCCACAATGTGCGACCGGTGCTGGCCCACTTGGCGGCCTTCCCGGTCAGTGGTGAGGCGCAGTTCAGAGCTGTCGATGGCGCGATGCCGCACTGGTCCCACATTGGTAACACGAGACCACCACGTTTGCCGGTCCAAGAGAGAGGCACTGGTGCTGTCCTGAGAAGGTTCGTGGTCCCTCTTGACTGCCCATGCGCGCGAGGCTGTGTAGGCATAGCCTCGAGAGTGCCAGCAGCCAATCTGAGGCAGTTTGTGACGCGCATTGCGTCAGAAGCGTGCACGCAGCTGGAAGGACACCTTCCTACTGGCCGTACGATCAGGTCGTCACTGAATGCTTGATACTAAGGCCGCGAGCTATGCAGGTGATGAATTGTGCAGCATGGCACGGTCAGCAGCGCCGACAGGCTGTCGCAAGGCGTGATAGCATGGCCGCAAGTAACGCCGAGTTCCCATGAAAACAAGTGAAAATTTGCGCAAAAAAAAGAAAAAAATCCGAAAAAAATCGGCGCCTGCGGCGGGCCATGGGACCCCATCGCCCCCCCGCATGGATACCCTCTAGGGCCCCCGCGCCCCCCCAGAGCATGACATGCGCATGCACATGCACATGCACATGCACTTGCACATGTTGTGCATGTGTGCGAGTTGTGTGTATCGGATCGTGTATGTGTGAAGATGTGTGCAAGTGTGCGCTGCCACCTGCTAGTGCTGCATGCAACTCGACGTCTCGCGAGGCAGAGCGGAGCGGGGTCTCTGGCCGCCTGGCCTGAGCTCGACGAGCGGCAGGAGGGCGCGGGACACTACTCACTAGTTTCACTAGCACACTCTCAAAGCATACACCGACACTCCACAGATTCCTGATCTACGGCTCTGATTTAGGAGCGTTCCACAACACAACACAGATCAATGTTCAGAGACGCCATTCCTTGCTCACAGTCTCAGGCAGTCTCTCAGGGACCCTCACTGAATCTTACCACACAACGATAACCTCTAGGCCTAAGAGCGCGACACACCGCCGCAGCTCAAAGCCGCCGCCGCGTGCCCATCAAGCCGTATGTCTCCTCACACGTCGCCCTGGAGCTTCATCGCGATAACGCCCACCGCCATCGCGGCAACGCCCGCCGCCGCCAGCGCGACAGCAATCGCTGCGCAGGCAGCAAGGGACTGGCGCCGTTGGCGGCGGCGGCGGAGCACGGCTGCCGCGTCCCAGCTCGAAGCCGGCCAGAAGCGGAGCCCCACCGACTCGTACGCCGCCTCCACACGCACAGCGCCGTCCGGGTCGTCCTTCATGACCCGCTCGAGTGTGCCTGCCATGTGCAAGCTCGCGCCGCGCAACATGCCAGCGGTCCGCTTGGACGGCCGGACGAAGTAGCCCGGCGGCTGGGAGCCGATGTCGCGCACAGTGGCGTGCGCGGGCGAGTCGGCGGGCTCCGGGCAGACGGCGTCGCCGACGGCCACGACGCCGCCCTGCAGCACCTCGCAGGACACGCCGGAGACGTCGAAGATGGCCTCAAGCTGGCGAGAGGGGAGGGGGGACTTTGCGCGTGAGGCTCGCGCGTGGGCGGGTGGCGTGTGGAGGAGCGAGCAGGCTACGAAGCGTGGCTCGTGCGGCTCCACTTCTATTGTGGCTGCACTCACGCGCCTGCCCCTGCCTCCCGCAGAGCCGCTCGTTGTACATGCAAGGCACGCAGTGGCGGTGCACAAACACAACACCACTGCCGAGGCGGAGTGCCGAGCCCTGCGCCATCAGAAGCTGCTCGCCGGTGATGCCTCGGACGACGATGTTTCGCCGGAACTCTCCGAACGATGCCGAGGTCGGCGGCAGGCCCGCCCGCTCGAGCGCACTCTCGATGCCGTCGGCAGAGATGATCGTCAGCTGGCGCCCAGGCTCGCGAGTACCGGGCTCCCGCGATGAGAACTTGAGCGCCGAGTAGGAGCCAAGCTTTGTCGCGTAGCGGTCGCCATCGATCCCCTTGCCCGCAAGCAGCGTGACCTGATCGCACGAGACCATCGGCGCCGCTGAGCGAGACGCGGTGAAGAGGCCCACAACCTCGCCCGAGGCGGACTCCGTGAATTTCTTTGCCAGGCGGGGAGAGCGGCGAGCCATGGGGAGTTTTGAGTGGGGGGTGCGGGGGGGGGGGACGGCGTCTCTCTGCTTCAGTAAAGAATTCTTCACTCGCCCTCTCACAGCACACTGGCACGACAAGGGCGCGGACTGGCGCGGACTGGCACACACACCGGCTCACCACCGGAGCCGTAAAGAAAGAAAAAAAACGAAGCAAACAAAACGCTCCTAGGACCTAGCGCTGCGAGCCTGTCGTGTCCCTTGTCAGGAGCAGGAGAGTCCCACCTGTGCCCCTGGTCGTCCTTCCAAAATCCTGCTCGTGCAGGTGTGGACCAGTGGACCCTGTCCTCCCCCATCCCCCTCGTTTGGGGTTGTCTGTGTTCTTTCTTTCTTTTTCCTAGCCCTCCTCCCCACCCAAGCGCAGTGCGAGTGTGTAGAGCCTCATGTCGCACGCCGCGGCGTCGTCCAGCCGCGCCACCAGCGCCTCGCGCAATCGACTCTGGCGGCGCAGCGCCTCGCAGGAGTGAAACTGGCGGGCGAGGTGCACATCGCTCCCGCAAGTGTGAGGGTTATTCGCCCTGTGTGCGTCGGACGACATCAGGTGCGGCAGCGAGTGGTTAGACCGCCAGCCAAAAGCGTCCATCACCTTCCGCAGCAGATCGCCCAGCCTGCTGGTCGTCCCCACCAAGTCGAAGCCCTGCAGCGCGCCGCTCGCGGCACGCGCGATGCAAGCGTCGCAAGCAAACGGTAGCGGCGCTTCCGTGGCCTCCCGCCCGGCAAGCTCTGGCGCTCCGAGGCACTCAAAGTGTCGCTGGCGCGTCTCGGGTGGGCAGGCGGCAGCGGCGAGGCCACAAGTTGAAGAGCGCGACTCGGCGCGCACGCCGGTGGCCTCGCTGCGTTGAAGCAGCGGCGCGCCCAATATCCGAGTCTGAATCCCCGAGGCGAGAGGAAGGTACTTTGCCAGCGATAGTATCGCCCGCGAACGGCGCGCCGCGCCGCCGCCGCCATTGCCGCCGCCGCCGCCGCACCGTGCTGGTGATTGTGAGCCTGCCCGCGGCCGGCGGCAGCCCGTGCGGATCTCCCAGTCCACCACCGGCTCGGTGAATGGAACAAACCAGCGGTACCTGCGGGTCTGACGCGCTGATGAGCGCGTCTGGGGCGGAGGTATGGGCGGGGCGAGGAGAAAGAGTGTCGATGAAGATCGGGACCGGCGCCAGACGAGGCGAGAGGTTGCCCGGTGTGAGGCTCGGGCAGGGAGGGGTCGGGCGCCAGGAAAGGATGTGGGCTGACGGCTCGCGAACGACGGTTATCGCCAGCAGCTTCCCCCCGGCAGCACGATAGCGACGGCGCAGGGCTGGAAGCTTTGGAGCGAGCCGCTGCAGAAAGACCGCCTAGCCAGCACGATTGTGGGCGGGTCGGAGAGCTCGGCCGCAGCTCACCGTACGGCTGGGTTGCTAGTCCAATAGCCTGCATTTGTGGCATGTGGAACTCGGCGATCACGGTCGTCTCTCGCCAGGCAGGCGTCGGCCCCTCTCTTGCCGAATCCCACGCCGACCCTGGGAAGAGCTTTTGATGGAGTGCGAGGAAGAGCAACGGGCGCCACGCATCTCGGAGCCACAAAGCAGTCGGCGTCAGCTTCTGCAGCCATGCCTGAGGAGCATCAAAATCAAGCCGTCACTCCGAGCGATACCGTGCGCATACAGTCTAAACGATCCCATGCCAACCATCTCATGCGATAGCTGCAATGCGAGCAAGCGCGTGATGCGTGGGTGTCGCAGCATGGTCCATCTAGAGCTCCACAATGACAGATGTGCCGCCGGTCTTTGCCATGTGGAAGAAGATGAGGGCACGCGGAGTTTTGTTGCTGGGCAGATGTCGCGCAAGCGCGGGTAGTCGCTCGCGCGCCAGCATGGTGGACTTGACAAACATAAGAACAACTAGTGTGGGACCTGCCGCGTTACCCGCCTCTGTTGTTCGGGGCAGTGAGAGACGCAGGATCTGCACGCGAAGTGGGCTCCACTCCGCATTTGCATTTTGGTTTTGGGTGTCGGAGATCATCCATCGCAAGCATTGCTAAAAATCTCTCTCTCGCAAGCACTCATCAGTCAGCTCGGATGGATGGCCCAGGGCCGGCGGCGGTGAAGGCGTCCGTCGATGAAGGGATGTCGTCGAGGGAGCCATCGTCCTCCGCAAACGGTGCACCAGTCCAGTTGTCGGAGTTCGAGATCGCAGTCGCCCGTCGACGAACTCACGGAATGTGAGCGACTTGGTGCACGCTGGGTAGAGCATCATGGCCCGCATCTTATCCTGGGCGAGGAAGTCGCCCAGGGACCAGCTGTTGGCGTCGCCGTTTTGATCGAGCTGCATCCAAAAGGTGCATGGTTTCGTAGTCAAGCGTAAACGCCCAGGAGTTGGTGCCTGGGTGACTTGCTGATGAGAGCGCCTTCCAGGCGGGCAGTCGTGCCCCTCACCTACGGTCATACGGCGGCGTCAGAGGGGGGGAAGGGGCGCGAAGCGTGAACATGGAGGCAAGCAGGTGGTGGGCACCTGGCCAAAGCCGGCGACCTCAAAGTTGTCGTGATATCGCTGAGCGTGAGAGGGACCGGATCGGCAGCAGCACGGGAGGAGTCAGCGGCCGGAGAGGCCGGAGAGCCATCCGACGGAGGCCGGTCGTGCATCGGCGCGTCGGCCGTAGGGGCCGTAGGGGCGGCATCCGTCGCTGCGGGTCGCTGCGGGCCGACGATTGTGGACTGATCGATCGTCGGCGGGCGGATTTCGGCTGGGACGTTCTACGGTTAAACCAAGAGCGTCGGCGCCGACACGAGAGACTTATAAGGGTAGACGGAAGAAACGCTGCTGATTGGCACTGTGCACACTCAGCGTAGACGAAAACATCCTTGAGATTTCACACCCGACCGCATCTGGGCAGCTCCCCTCCCCGCCCGCAGCGAGGTTTCAAAGAGCCACGGGGGGCATCTTTGCGCGCGTCCTCACAAACACCCAGAGGCTCTCTAGCCCGTAACCCGATCCCAATCGTCCGGCCTCTGGGTGCGCTTCTTAGCTCCCCGGCCCTGGGCGTGCGGCTACTGACTGCACTCCAAGTGCTCCAAGTGCGCCGCACTGACCATCGGACATAGAGAACGGTGATACTGCCCGACCACGGCGATGCGGACGGCGGAGGCTGGCCGCGAGTCGTTCTGGCGCCCACTGGTCGCCTTGGCTCTCCCCGGCCTGCTGCTCCTGGTTGTTTCTTTGGCCGTGCTCGCTCCCGCGCATGGTAAGAGGATATGGGGTGACCCTTGGTGGGATATTGGCTATCAAGGGCCAGGATTGCAGTCGCCCGCGGAGGTCCCTGACAGCCTGGGCAGCCTGGGCTTTATCGGTGTGGGCGTGACATATCTCGGTTCGTACATGCACACGATGTTCGCAGAGTGTGCCGCCGAGAGCACTCTCTTCAAGGAGGCAATGTACTCAGCACCCCTGCCCCGCCCTCCGGACGCAAAACCTCGCCAGCCGTTGGCCTTGGTCGTGAGCGGTGGGGGCTTCCGCACCATGACGGCCGGCATCGCCTATGCTCGCTCGCTCTCCTTTGCATTTGAGGCGCTGGGCGGGCAGCTCGGGTGGGACGACATCACGCACCTCGCCGGCAACTCGGGTGGGCAGTGGTTTGCGACCCAACTAGCCTTTTCGCGCCAGTTCTTCCTCGAGCTCACGCGGCGCGACGCCAACGGAAGATATGTCAGCCTAGGTCACTTCTTCGACTTGTGGGGCTTGAATTACGCAAAAGGCATGTACACGGGAGACACGCCCTCCTTTGACCTTTACGACCGCTGCGCTGGCTCCCGAGTCACCTCCAAAGTCATCGGTTTGGTTCTCGGCGCGATTGCGTGGGGACTTGAGCTGGCTCACTTCCCAGCGTACAACTGGCAATCGTATATTGACCATATGCTCCATTGTAGCATTCCCGACTACGAGTCGCTTACGTTTGACGACCTGCGGCCGGGACTGCCGGAAGCGGCCCTCGTCGAGCAGCTTGCCCTTCCGCCCGACACCTGGGTGGGGAAGGACGCCGACGTTGAGCGAGTGGACGTGGAGCTGCCGCAAGGGGTCCCTGCAGACGCAACACTGCCGCTCGCGCACATCGCCAAGGCTCGCTCGTCGCAGGGTGGCTACGACGGCTTCTTCGCGCCCGCTTTAGGTGCCGGTCCCACTTTGCAAAAGCAACCCTACACCTGCGACTGCGGGTGGACTTGGTGGACCAACTGTCCGACGGAGAGGTCGATGCTGTGGCACGCCAGAGATGACGGGTCGCCGTGCTACTCCCACTGTTGCAACCCCACCCCAAATCGGCCTCGGCCCCTTAGCCTGCGCACGCGCTTCAGCAACAGCTCGACGACGAGCCTGAGCGTCGTGGCGGCGATGTCGTCGGCGGCTGCCGGTCTGACCAGCTCGCCGACTATCGCAAAGAACGCCCTTCACACGGTCTTGGGGGCGATGGGGCCCAAGACACGGGACGCCCTGGTGACCGCCATGGCCGACGAGGCCGACTCGCTGGCATCGCCAGCAGACGTGGCAGAGGCGAGTACGAAAATATCAAAGGCAGAGGTGCGGGGCTTCGATTGGACGCTCGACAAGATGGACGAGTTTATCGACACGTGCACGCCGTTTGGGCTGCAGACTCTCGGCGTTGGCCTCGATTTGGAGTGGGAGAACCAGCCACCGCTGCCGGAGGAGGACAAGCGGGCGTGGTCGCCACCGTACCGCGGCATCGATGGCGTCTACGTCGACAATACCGCCATGATTATGACTCTTGCCAATATGATTTACGACTGTGAGCACGACGTGACGGTCGACTGCCGCGACAGGAAGCTGGATCTGGTGCTCATCAACGATGACGACTCCTCGCAGCCGAGCACCAATGCGATCGGGCCGATGTTTCGGGACTACGGCGTGCCGGTGGGGTCGTTTGAGCCGTCCGGAATGTTCACCTCTGTTCCGTCGCGCAGAATCTTTGCGGAGGACTACCCCTCGCCGGAGCGCTGGACGCGCTACTTCACGCCCGGGGCGGATACCCATCCCTTCAAGGACTTCCAGCCCTCCCGCCTGCCTGCCGAGATCATCTCGGGCCTAGCAAACGGCCGCCTTGCCGAGTCCTTCGGGGTCTTTGCCGAATCGACCTTGGCTGCAGCGATGGCCAAGACGGGTGCCAAAGCGAATGACGTCTACAATTCAGCAGCAAACGTGATTAACCTACTCGCTAAGGTGAACCGGTCCAATGAAGGGGGCGAAGCGGCCGCCGCAGAGGTGGTCTCGAGATACCCAGGGTCGAACTTTACCCAGGGAGAGTTCACGACGATTGACAACCCGCGGTGGGGCGTCAAGGCCGGGTACACCGTCAACTTGCTCATCTTTTGCATATCCTATCCGAGCGATCCACTGCTGCGAGGGGGAATGGGTACGGACAACGACCCGCTCATCCTCGGCCCGCTCACGGCCGCCGCCTTCTTCCGCACGCTGTACGAGCCGATCGCAAGAGACGAGATTGAACACGCGACCCCGCACCTGACAGCCTGGCTCCGCAAGCGCGCGAAAGAGCGAAATCTAAAAGCGTCGAAGGGCTGGGCGTGAGAAGATGGGAATTTTTAAGCCTGAAATCGAGCTGACTTTCTTTTTCTTCATTATGTTTGCTTAGTGAAAAGCGAAACCTCTCGGCGCTCTCCGGGGGGACGCGCTCGACTACCTAGTCTGTCCTGGCCCGTACGACTGTACTGCCCGCGGAAGCTGACAATGGAATACCGAACGTTAGTTATCTTCTCTGGTCTCATCTTTGCGTACTCCAACGTGAGCGGCGCCCTTGCATCGCATCCGGTGAACGGTGCTCTGGTGTTTGTGGTGGTTGGTGTTTGCCTCGGCCCGGTCGTGCTCGGCTGGTGTGCAGCTCATAGATAGCTGAATAGTAGTGTGCATCTCATAGATGACTGAATAGTAGTGTGCATCTCATAGATGACTGAATAGCAGTTGTGAGCCTAGTGTAAGAACGCGCATGCTGGCAGGCTCGACTTTTCTATCGGCGACGAAGCGGTTCGCGAGGGGCTGAGCCTGGTTGCAGAGGTGACGCTCGCACTGGTGAGTGCTGGCTTTCACGATAGTGGGCGCGTTCAAGCATTAACCCTTCACCTCCTTTCTCCCCTGTAGGTTCTGTTCAGCGACGCAGCGAGCGCCAACCTACTCGTGCTCCGCCATTCGTACAGGCTGCCTGTCCGGCTGCTTTTGGTAGGGCTTCCGCTCACAATCATCCTCGGAGCAGGAGTCGGTTACCTCCTATTTGGTGACACTCTCTCGCCGCTGGAGGTTTTCGTCCTGGCAACCATGCTTGCGCCCACCGATGCTGCACTGGGGAAGGCAGTGGTCACTGACAGCCGCGTGCCATCCTACATTCGAGAGGTTGGCTGCCTTCCGTCATCTTTACACGCGTGTGGCCCGTTTCAGCGCCTCCTGGCTGTTACAGGCGCTCAACCTCGAGAGCGGCTTGAATGACGGGATATGCGTGCCGGTGCTCTTCATCTTCCTCGCGCTCGTCAGCCCGGAGCGTGAGGAGCACGGCCGCCCTGCGGACCTCGCCCTGCGGCTGACTGCGGAGGCGATTGGTATCGGCGCTGTCGTCGCCGTGGCCATCACCGGGCCCGCCGTCTGGCTCTTCGAGCGGTGTGAATCGCGGCAGTGGGTCGGGGAGAGCTGGGAGGAGGCCGCGGTGCCGTCGTTGGCGGTAGCTTGCTTTGCCAGCGCTCAGTGGTTTGGAGGGAGCGGCTTCATCTCGTGCTTCATCGGCGGATTGTTGTTTGGTCGGCTCATCCCTCTGCCCGAGCACAAGGCACGGCTTCTCGAGGCAGCGGAGAGCGCAGGCGACGTCTTGGCCCTCGTGACATGGGTCCTTTTCGGCGCGGTGCTCATTGACGACAGCATGGCAGAGGTCACCTCGTGGCAAGTCGTTGCCTACGCTCTGCTCAGCCTGACCGTTGTGCGTATCTTGCCTGTCGTTGTCGCTCTCTCGGGGACACGGCTGAAGACTAACGAGAAGATATTCATTGGCTGGTTCGGCCCCCGCGGGCTTGCAAGCGTTGTCTTTACCATCCTCGTGATGGACGAGAGGGACCTACCAGGAGGCAAAACTATTGTCATGACAACGGCATTACTCTACGGCTGAGAAGGGGGGGCACGGTCTCACCCGATCGCGCTTTCACTTGCGCTCTCCTTGAACAGGTGGTTGCTGTTGCATGCTCTGTGCTCTTGCACGGAATGAGTGCCAATCCCCTCGTCGCTGCGCTCGAGGCGAGTCTCCGGGACAAGCACCAGCGGGGCGTTGCCGGCGCAAAAACCGACGCAGGACCAGTAGCTAGCCCAGAGGCGCGCCCCAGGCCGTACTCCTACTCACTGCAGGATGCACGCCTCTCGAGTGGGAAGAGTAGCATGCGATGAGAGAGAACACACACACATGGACAGAGTCAGAGAGTTTGTTTCCCCCTTTTGTAATAGACGCGGCTGGTATCACTTGTGTCTATCAGCGTCTCCGACTCCGTCTGTCGCACCAAATAATAGAGCGCTCTCTAATCTCACAGTCACACGTCTCTCTGTCCAGACCAGGTCGAGACTCTATAATAGTGTTGATCGAATCGAGTCGAGGTCTGCCGTAGCTAGAGTAGTGTTACACGTGTTCATCGCTCGCCAACGGGGCAGCACGTGCGGACTGGCAGCGTGAGGTCCTCCGGCTCGCCCGGCAGCGCACACGAGGCGACTTGCACGCATGCGAACGGGCCGTAAAATTCGCCATCCACGAGGAGCGAAAAGCGCTCCCCGGCCGCCGCCGCCGCCGCCGCTGGCCCGGACAGCCGCTGTCGTGGATCGGCATTCGCCGCGGCCGCCGAGGGGAGACCCGCCGTGATTGTCGCCGCTCGCACGTAGCGTGGAGGTGCGTCCGCGTGGCGGCTGCCGCGGCCGCCGGTGCTGCAGCGGAAGAGGAGTCTGGGCGAGGTCGCCGGCTCGTGCGGCGCGGTCGAGAAGTTTTCAAAGCTGAGAGCGGAGAAGCGGCCGGCCATCGGGAGGCCGGGCGTGTGCACCTCGCCCCGAGGGTCGCTCAGCGAGAGGGCGAGGGTCAGGCCGACGCCGTTCGCCACGGACTGCTCCGAGGGCTCGGCCGAGGCCGACGCGCCGCCGAGCACCTCCACGCTGCACGCGAAGGCGATCGTCACGAAGGGCGGCGAGCCTGTCCTCGCGGGCGGCGCGAGCCAGCAGCGAGCCTCGAAGACGGCGAGCTCGAGAGTGTGGCCCGCGTGGCGAAAGTACTGCTCGGCCAGAACGCTCCTCCACGGGTCAGCCGGCGGCGGGGTCGGGGGCGGCGACGGGGGCGCCCCGCCCGCGTCCGCGCGAGGCAGGGTGAGCTGAGGCGCGGTCGGCTGCCCGAGGGCAAGCGGCGCGAAGACGTGCTTGCGGTACCCGCCGTCGCGCGCGCTCAAGTACTGCGCGAGCGTGCTCGACTCCTCGACGGGGACGAGGTAGAAGCGCCACTCGACCAGCGCGCACAGGTCGGGGTAGGCGCCGCGCAGCACGACGTACGCCTGGAGGAGGGCGTGCAGCGCGCCGTCCCCGCCCACCGCCGCCACGCGGAGAGGCGGCGCCGGCTGGCCGGGCGGAGCGAGCTCGGCGAGCTGAGCGAGCCGCTCGTGCAGGGGGGGCAGCAGCGGGCTGTACAGGTACCGCCGCCCCGCCAACCGCTCCGCCGCCTCGCGCAGCTCGCGCGTGCGAGTGTATCTTGCGCTCCCGCCGGCGGAGCTCACCAGCGGCCGCAGCGCCAGAGGGGGAAGGTGCGGCTCCGGCGAGGTGGCGGCTCCGCTGCCGCCGACCACCGCCGCCGCGAGCTGCTGCACCGTCTCCTGCAGCTTTGCGCACTGCCTCTCCTTGACCGCCGTCCAGAGAGGGTCGCTCGGCGAGCCGTCGCCGGAAGCGAGCAGGGCCGCGTCCACCGCCGTCGCGGCGAGGCGCAGCACGTCCTCGCGGCTCTCGAGCGCGGAGCCGGAGGAAACGGCGGCAGAGCCGGAGGGGGCGGGCCGTCGCGAGTCGCCGCCGCGCGCGAGCGCGAGGAGCATCGAGCGGAGTGCCTCGCACACCGCCGCCTTGTGCTCCTCCTCGGTCGCCTCCCGAGGCAGCAGCAGCTCGCGCGCCGCCCGTGCCCAGTCCGAGGCGGGCCGCTCGTCGAAGGCGCAGTACACGGTGTGCCCCAGCGCGAGGAGGAGGGCGGCCTCGCTCTGGGCGCAAAGCGCCCTCCGCAGCCACCGCGCGTCCGCGTCGACGGCGAGCCACGCCCCACCCGCGGGCAGCGCAGCCTCGGCGTGGGTGGCCGAGAGGAGCTCGGCAGCCGCTGAGCCGGCTGGCTCGGGCCACAGCAGCAGGGCTTTGGCCGCCGATCGCAGTGCGGAGAGCCTCTCGCCGGAGAGGCGGTGCTGAGAGCGGACGAGGCTGCGCGCCAGAGCGAGCACCGCCAGCGCACGCTGCGGAGACAGCAGGGGCCCCAGCCGGAGGAGCCCGCAGATGGTCTTGACCATCGTCCCGATACGAAGGTCCGCCGTGCCGGGTCGAAGCAGAAACTGGGTGGCCAGCGCGCAGGAGTGGTCGTCGCTCTCGTCGTCGGTGGCCATACCGACGAGCGATGTCACGCTACTCGCCGCCTCTTTACAGCCCACCAACCCCAGCAGCGCAGAGGCGGGCTCGCCAAGAGAGCCGAGCGTCTTTGCGGCCCGAGCGAAGTCCTTGTGGTTGGGATCGATCGGTGCTCCGTACAGGACGAGCTGGGCCATCGTTGCCATCAGCGTGGCGCGAGAGACGTGGGACCGCGCTGACGCGCCGCCTTCTCCCTCTGCTGCAGGCGAGGCCGCGAGACGGTCGGCGAGGGCTACAAACAAGGCGGTCGCGGCCGCGCTCGAGGAGTTGGCCCGCTGCCAGAAGGAGTGGTAGGAAGCCAGGGTGGCGTGCGGCTCGATGTCTAGCGTCACCGCGCCGCGAGACTTTCCAAAGATGGTTGAGCGCATGGCGTCACTATGTGAGCACTTCTTGCTTGGCGACTTCCGGGGCTGGCGACCGACATTCGGACGTCCGTGAAAAAAGAAGAAACCCGGCCTTTTTTGTGTGAGCTGTGTGCGTGCCTACACAAAAGTGAAAAAGGCAATGCCTGGAGGCCACGTGATGTAGTGCTCATCGACCCTCTGAGTGGTCCTCTCGTTCCCCGCAAAACACTCCCCCCAGCCCCCTCAACGGCGTGGGGCGGCTGCCGCCCGACACCCGCCCCGGTCAGAAGAGGGGCGTGACGAGCCTCGCGACCGCCTCGTCCTCCACCTCCTCCACCGACCCGTGCTCCCACGCCGGCGGCGCGGGAGGGACGGGCGGCCCGCGCGCCTCCTCGCGCGCCGCCCTCGCCGCCGCCCGCCTGGCGATCTCGCCGACGGCTCGCGTCTCGTGCCGCCGCCGCGCCTCGGTCTCGACCGCCTGCAGAAGCTCGACCTTGGAGCGGTGGAGCAACCCGGCGCCTGCGCGGAAGTCCGCCGTCGCGGCGGCCGCGGCGCACGACTCGGCCTCCGCGCGCGCCGCCGCCGCCCAGCAGTCCGTCTCCTCGGCGGCACGGAGCTGCGCAAAGGTGAGCGACAGCGCGAGCGGCGACGCCTCGCGAAGCACCTGAGAGAGCGGGAGTGGGAGTGGGAGTGGGAGTGGGAGTGGGAGTGGGAGTGGGAGGGGAGCGGGAGGGGAGCGGGAGGGGAGGGGCACGTCCGGCGCGGGCGGGTCGGCGCGGGCGGGCCGGTGCTGGTCGGCGAGGGGGTGGGTGGGCGGGGCTCGCCTCGAGCGCGGCCTGGTGCCACTCCGTCCCTCCCTCCTCGAGGGCGCGCATCACCTCGGGGAGAGAGCCGCGCGAGAAGGCGGCCTCGACCTGCGGCGCGTAGTAGAGCGCGTGCTCCTCCCCCCACCCGCCCAGCGGAGGCAGCTCCACGCACGCGTCCGACAGCCGGCGAGACACGCGCCACAGCAGCCGCCGCTCGCCCTCTCCGCCGGCCGCAGCTCCGCCCTCTCCGCCGTCAGAGAAGCCCTCGCCGAGGGCGTCGGCGAGCTGCGGCAGCGCGTGCGCCTCGCAGAGGTGGGTCGCCAGCCCGAGCGCGTAGCACTCGGGCCCCGTCAGCGCCGCGCCCGTCAGCGCGAGGTAGCGGCCGAGCGCGTGCGGCAGCCGTGCCAGCCGGTGCGACGCGAGCGACTCCGGCGGGCAGCCGTGCGAGGGGCCGGGCAGGCAGAGGCGCGTCCGCTCCGTCGCGACGAAGAAGGGCGCGTGCAGCGCCGCGCCGACCGCCGAGCCGCACAGCACGCCGTCCAGAGCGACGACGGCCGGCGCCCACCCTCCTCCGTCGGACAAGGTGCCGAGCGAGCGCATGAGGTTGGCGAGCTCCTGGAAGTGCTTGGCGCGCGCCGCCGCGTCCATGCGCGCCACCTTCGCCATGTTGCTGCCCAGCGACCCGTGCTCCGCGCCGTCGGTACCCATGAGCACCGCGCTCTGTGTTGTCCGCGCTGCACGCGCCGCGGAGAGCTCGCCCAGCATATCGAGCACGCGCGGCCGCGAGAAGGAGTGGTCGCCCGCGCGGAGAACGACCGCCGCGCCGCAGGCCTGAGAGGCCGCCAGCTCGCGCAGCGTCGCAGCGGCGCGGAGCGAGGCGCGCGCCATAGGGGAGGATGTCGGAGTCTCTGAGAAAAAGCTGGTCTACATCCGGGCGGGATGGGAGGACGGCCCGCCGCCACCACACAGGGATTTTAAGGAGAGGAGTGTGGTGCTAGCCGTCGCCCACCCTAACCCTTGATCGTCTGCCTCTTTCTATCTCCCTTCGCAGTGCCTCGCCGATTCTCTCTCTCCCACACGAGCGACGCCGGTGTTCTTTTTCTCGCCGAGCTTTGAGCACTTGAGCACTGGATAGGGTCGATTCCGCATGGTACGGGACCCCTCGATCGTCTCACCCTCCCTCACTGGTGTGTTCAGGGGGGGGGGGGTCATAACAAACATTCCAGGATCGAGGTGCACGCCGCCGACCGAGGGACTTCGGAGGGGGTAGATCGGGCGGTGTCGTCCCCCTCTCCATCATCTCCTCGGGAGATGTCGTCCGGTGGTGGCGGTTGTGACCGCGATCGATCGAGCTACATACACACAAGGTACAAGAAGCTGCCGAGCCCAAATCACTGTGCGTCGTGATTTCTGGTTGGTCTTCAAAAATCTCTCTACATACAAGAGTCAAGAGGAGGTAGTTCAGCAAGATCTCTCTGACATTGGGTTGGTCTGGCGCACTACCTCACTGGGCCTGAGACCGCCGAGACATTTCCCTTCACCGTCTCGGGTTTATGTGGAGTCGAACCACCCCGGGATGAGCAAGCCCATCAAGTTATTTTCGTCAAAGTGGAGCTCGTGCGAGATGTTCAGCCGCCCGCACGTCGTCCCCCGCACGCTGCCGGATCCACAATATTGGTTGGGGACCCGTAGCATCACGCCCTTGGGCGCAGGCAATAATCCGACGTCCTGCTAGAATGCCGGCCCGAAGTATGTACCGCCATACAGCTGTATGCGGCCCTGGGATGACACGTCTTATAGCGCCGAGTGCCGATGCAGCGTGCTGAGCACATCGGGACGGAGAAACCCAGAAAGGCCCGCGCAAGTAGTAGACAAGGCGCGGCCGTCCAATGACCATCGCGGCAAAGGGGAGTCAAAGGATGCCACTGCTGTCTCCACGCTTGGTGGGCATGGTGGCCAATCCCAGCAGTGCACCAACCTTCCGCCAGCCGCGAGGCTGTAAGACCGTTGTCCACGTACTTCAGCCGCCCCACCGCCGCGGGACCTCCCCACGGCGATGCCCACCTTGCCCTCGTACTTTTGTCGAAGAGCAGCAGCGCTGAATCTGAGAACCTATATATTATCCTGAGTCGGAGCTTTGCAGTAAATTCTTTTTCTCTCCTCTTGGAGCGCTGCAGTGTACAGCTAGGACCGCGCCTGCGCAGTTTCGGGGTCGTGGCGGCGACGCGGGACACCCCGACGCGAGCGTGGGACGGCCCCTGGCCAATAGACTGGTTCCACAAAAGATTTAGCCACGTCAATCGTCATGGGGCCACACCAACGTCAGGGGCGGCCGAGGCCGCACTCCGTACTGAGAGAGTTCTTCTCTTCCGTACTGTACGAAAGTGTGAACACAGCTCACAGGTCGGAGCGGCAGCCCCTGACCGCACAGCGCCGCAGGCGCCTGATGATACATGTACATGCAGGAAGGTCCAGGTGATAGCGGCCCTGGATGGGCGATGCATACGCCTAGTTGAGCCGCAGGTCGCCCACCCACGTCCCGTTGCTCTGCGGTCGGATTTGTGACGCCGCCGCACCGTGCCGCGGCCGGGGGTCCTCGCTCGTCCGGAGGCCGAGGATGGCCGTGGCGGACCGGGACGAGCTCTGGGAAGCAAGGCGAAGTGTCAGTGTATATATTGTAGAGACAGACCATGTGCATAATATCTATGAGTCAAAGCTAAGCCAGGGGAGGCGATGCCGGGGCCGTCCAGCAGCTTGATGGTGCTTCGCCGTTGTGTGTCCCGGTCCGACCCGGACGGGCGGCCAGACAGTGGGAGAAAAACTCAGAGGAACGCCGACGCCGCTGTGATTCGACTTTTTACTTCAAACAAAAACAGTCGCACGTACCCGCGCGGTGCGGTGCGTGCGACTGTCTGGAGCGGATCCGCCAGAAACGTGTTCACAGACTTTAGGCCGCGACAGTAAGGGCCCCACCCGCCCTTCAACTCGCGAGGCGCGCCCAGGTCGGCCTCGCGGTCCCTCTTTGCTTCGCTGATCTTCCTGGACCTTGCAGACATGGCGAGCGGGGTGAACAAGTAGAGCCCAGTGTCCTCGTTGTCCATAGTTCGCGCTTGATTGATAGAAAGGCGAAGAACAGTCAGGCTCGGACTGGACACCAGCGCGGTATGGGTGGACGCGGGACAGATGATGACGACACGCACGAGCGACACACAGACACAAACAAGCTCACAATACACACAGCCAGCGGGCTGCCACACACCCTGAGTAGGCGTACACATCACTCAGGGCCACGTCCCCCCTGTCGCCCCCCCCAGCACTCCAAGGTGCCAAGGGAACAAACAACAGCACAACAACACAGACACAGGCGACAGGCGACAGGGGCGAACGTGTGTGTGAGACTAGAGCAGGCTTGCTCCGCCTCTAGCAATCTCGTCGCCGGCCGCAAGGCATGGACGAGACCGTGTGTGGGGACTTGTGATGTCTATCGCGCTGCGGAACCGGGGCCAGACCCCAAACCCCTCAGACTTGGTGTCGGAGAGTTGGTGCCCTTGAGGTGTCATCTCGCCCTCGGCTCATCTCGGCTCATCGGTGTGCGAGGGGCGTTAGGCTTGAGGCCAGCCTGCGGCCACGTGCGACTGTGCAGCTATAGCATGTTCGTGCTATTGGCCTTAGCTGCCAGTACCGTGCCCACGGGAGCTCGCCTCGAGGCTGGGCTGCTGCAGGCAGAGCCCGTTGCCAAGGAGCGCAGCCTGCGCGGCGGCATGGCCAAGCGGTGGCCCATCCTCGCTCGGAGGGTGGACCTCTCCCACGGTGAGCGCTACACCTCGACCGACTGGCTCACCAACTTCTTGTCAATTCCCCGCTCGCACGTCCTCGAGCGTATTGGGCCTCACCTTTGGTCCCAGACCGGGCTCTGCGCCCTCGTCGTTCTGCTTCACCGGCACGGCCTCCGCTTTCCCACGGGGTCGGCGATGCCACACACGCTCCTTGGCGGCTTCCTCTCGCTGCTCCTAGCCTTCCGCACCAACATGGCTTACAACCGCTTCTACGCCGGCCGCCTCAACTGGGGCGTCGTCAAGAACTCGTGCAGCGACTTGGCGCTGTACGCCGTGACGCACGTGCGGCCCCGCAGCCCCGCCCTCGCGGAGCGGCTGCTCGCGCTGGTCGCCTCCTTCCCACCGGCGCTCGCCTGCCGCTGCTGCTGCGACGAGTCGTCCGCCAAGCTGCCGCTGTCACAGCGGCAGGCGCTGTCGGGCGCCATGGAGACCGCCGCACCGTCCGCCGCTCTAGCCCTCTGCCTCAAGCTCCGGCGCCGCCAGACGCTCGAGGCAGCCCGCCTCCCGCCGCGCCTCCTCGCGCGTGAGGCTTGCGCTCTGCTCACAGGCACGCGCTCGCTGACGTCTCGCGGCGCGGCAGGCTTGTCCCGCACGCGAGCTCCGCCGCCGCCGTCGTCGAGACGCAGGTCGAGGCGGAGATGCTGATGCAGGTGGCATCCCCCTCGTGTCATCTCCCTCCCCCCCTCCCTCCCTCTTGCCACGCCACGCCCAGCGCGCCGCGCCGCGCAGGCGTCGCGGCGCGTCGGCAGCCTCGTCGACGCGCTCGGCTCGTGCGAGAGCCTGCTGACGACGCCGGTGCCGCTCTCCTACTCGCGGCACACGAGCCGCTTCCTCACCATCTGGTGCGGCACGCTGCCCGTCGTCCTGGTGGACGCCCTCGGCTGGATGACCGTCCCCGCGGTCGCGTTCGTCTCGTGGTGCCTCTTCGGCATCGAGGAGATTGGCCACCTCATCGAGCAGCCCTTCCGGGACGAGGAGGCGCTCGCCTCGGCGCCCGCGCTCGTCTCCGCCCGCCGCCACTACTCGTACGGCCTCCCCGTGCGCCGGCTCGGCCGGCTCGCCTCGGAGCAGGTGCACGCGATCGCCGCTGCGCCGGCGCCGAGGTTCTAGCCCGCCAGTGTGCGCGCAGTGGAGCGCACCCTTGCGCCTCTCGCGCTGTGGGCGCCTATTTGATGATACAGTCATACACCGGTATCAGTACTCTTGTGTCTGTAGCCTACAGCTGAACCTGAACGCTGGAGTGGCCGCAGCTAGTCGTAGCAGCCAGTTTCGGGTGGCAGCGCGGGGTGGGGTGCACGTGGGGGATTGTGGGCAAAGGCACGTGTGTGGCACTACACTGTGTGCGCCGCCGAGGATAACGATTACAGTAATACAGATATACGGCTTGTTACAGCAGAAAAATACACAGAGAGGGCGCCGTGTGCCGGGGTGCCGGTGCGGCTTAGCGGCTTAGGGCTTTACAGATTACACTCTGCTCAGTAGTCAGTTCACAGTTGCGAGAGTTGGTCAGTACATACGTGTTAGAGTATAGAGAAAGAAGGGGAGTCGAGACTCGAGTCGACGAGTGACGAGTAAGTTCGTGCGGCATGTTGGCAAGCCTGTGTGTCACCTCGCGTCCGGGTTTGGCCGCTTCTCTCCGCGCTGCTGCGCGGCCGGTGGCCTCGCGCGCGGCACGAGCTCGGCAGGCGAGGCGGCGGGCGGCGCCTGGTCGAAAAAGGCGTGCGCGAGCGCCTCGTCGGCGCTCGGCCTCTGCTCCGGGTCGAGGGAGAGCAGGTCGCCGAGCAAGCGCAGGGCGGCGGGCGAGGCGGCAGGGAAGCGCGTCGGCAGCGGGACCGGCGCCACCTCCTTGAACTGGATGTAGTCGGGCAGCTTCGAGACGGCCGGCCAGCTCTCGTCGGTCGGGGTGCCGCGCAGGGAGAAGACGCGCGAGAGCTGGTCGATGTCGGAGCCTCCCGGGAAGAGGGGCGCGCGAGTCATCAGCTCGGCAAAGATGCAGCCCATCGACCTGCAGCCGCGCAAACCCGGGAAAGGTGACGCGGTGCGCCGCCGCCTCGGCCCGCCGCGGTGTGGCGCGCCACACCGCGGCAGGTCGACTGCGGGAAGTGTCTGGGAGGTGTCTCGGGAAGTGTCTGGGAGGTGTCTGGGAGGTGTCTGGGGAGGTGTCTGTGGAGGTGTCTGTGGAGGTGTCTGTGTCTGAGGAGGTGACTGTGGGGAGGTGTCTGTGGGGAGGTGTCGCGCGCCACAGGTCGACAGCGGGGCCGTAGTGCTTTGCGCCGAACAGCAGCTCCGGCGGGCGGTACCAGCGGGTGACGACCTGGCCGGTGAACTTGCGGCCGGGCGAGCCGTAGAAGCGGGCGAGGCCAAAGTCAGCGAGCTTGACGTGCCTGGCGGGGTTGGAGGGTTGGGAGAGGGTCGGGAGAGGGTTGGGAGAGGGGCGGGAGGAGGAGGGGAGCGACGGTTGGGTGATTCGGCGTCCGCGCCGCCGCCGCAGTGCGCACGCGCACCCCGACGCGTTGAGCAGGAGGTTCCCCGGCTTCAGGTCGCGGTGCAGCACCTGTTGACGCGGCGTGGCGTGAAGGGACGCCCCCCCCCCTCCCAAGCGGGCTTGCGTCCCACTCTTGTCGCAGCAAACCCAGTTGGCGTGGCAGAAGGCGAGGCCGCGGAAGGCGCCGAGCAGGTAGCCCTTGATGCGCGACGTGTCGAGCGGCGCCGTCTTGTCGCGGAGGATCTGAAGCATCGGCCGTGGAGGGAAAGTCAGAGAAGAGTGTCTGGAAAGTGAGGGAAGTGTCTCGGAGGTGCGGCGCCGTCCGGTCAATAGCGCGGCGACCCAAACCCCAAGCTGGCCCTGACCCTGACCCTGACCCCGACCCTGAGCCTGAGCCTGAGCCTGAGCCTGAGCCTGAGCCTGAGCCTGAGCCTGAGCCTGGCCCTACTGTGTGCCGCGGTGCCGACAGAGCTGAAGAGGCGGAGGTGTGTGCAGTGTCCGAGAGGTGTGCGGCGGACGCCTTCTCCAGATCAGTGACGCAAAACTCAAAGACGAGCGAGAGGGCGCTGTTGTGCGAGTAGGCCTCCTTGAGCTCGATCACGTGCTGGTGGCGTAGCTCGGCCAGCAGCATCGTCTCACGGAGCGTCGACAGGTCTGCGCCGTTCTTGCCGCTCGGCTTGCGGATCTTTTTGATCGCGACCTCCTGTCCTGTCTTGATCACCCGGGCCCGTGTCACGACACCAAAGGTGCCCTCGCCCACCACCTCGATCTTTTCGTAGTCGGCGTGCCCCATGTGCCAACCCCAAAGCGGGGCGAGGAGCCCTCTCTCGCGCGCTCGGGCGACGAAGATTAAAAAAAATCGCGGTCGCACACCAGGCGGTGCGGCCGCCAGTGCCGCCACCGTTTCCGCCACCCACACTACCACCTCCGCCCCCGCCGCTGGAACGGCTGCAGGGTCAAGGGGCCGCCCCAGCGGCTCCAGGCGTTACGACCGCGAGTGCCGCCACCGTACCCGCCCCCCCCCCGCCACCGCCTCCGCCCCCGCCGCCGGCGTGGCCGTCACCACTCCGACCCACGCGGAGCCTGGGGGGCCCGGAACCGCCCTGTCGGAGGCTGGGGTACCCGGGGGAGGGGTCCGAGGGGGGGGTGGTGCCGTGGGGAGACAGCGGGTCAGCCGGCGGACGCGCGGACCGCAAGGCCGGGACCGGAGGGCCCCGGGTGAGAGGCCTGGAGTCAACTGTCGGGGGAAGTGAGAGTCGAGCTGACCCGGCCTCTGCGAGTGGAGTCGGGCCGTGCGAGCCCGCCGGCGGTAGACCCGTCGCGGCGGCGGCTGGACCGTCGTGATCTACGACAAGAGGGACCGCGCCTCCCCGAGCTTAGTGAGGAGCCGGCGGAGGGGGAGGGCGAGCCGAGAACGATAGAGAAGCCGCGGATGCGGGCGCGACTCGCCGACCAGGGAGAGCCGGCTCGACCTCCCTGGGAGGGGTGGCGACACGATCCAATGCCGCCGTCCTCGCCCGGGGAGACCCCGGCCTGGCCGTCGACGCTCTCGGAGGCTGCGGTACCAGTCGAAGGCGAAGCGGAGTCGAGGCCACAGCCGAGGAAGAGGCATCAAAAACGACTGCAGAGGCAGTCTGGTAACGCCCGGAAGGCGAGCAAGGGACCGGGACGAGCCGAGGGCTCGCCCTGAAGGGCGAAGGAAGGGACTCTGGGACCGGAGTCGGGCGAGCGCACATGAGGCGTATCCGTGTACGTGCGTGGAGTACAGTGTTGTGTGTCCGTTAGCTCCGAGTAGAGGGGGCGTTCTGCAGTTAAGGGGAAACCCGGTACACGGAACTAACCCTCGGAGACCCGTGTTTACTTTACGGCCCTTTCCCTGCGAACGCGCAACCCCCTAGGGGTCAGGGCTCTCTAGCCCGTAGCCCGATCCCGATCATCCGGCCCGCTGGGTGCGCTTCTTAGCTCCCCGGCCCTGGGTGTGAGGTTACCGACTGCACTCCAAGTGCTCCAAGATCCCGGAAAAGGTCTCCTCGCAGTAGGTTAAAATCGCTGTGTCGTGGCGGCGTGCCGTCCACCTCCCATCCCTCCCTTGGGTTGTCTGCGTTGTTTCTTTCTTTTACTTTTTTCTCGCACTAGGTTGCAGCGAGAATCGGCGAGGGACTGCGAAGGGAGATAGAAAGAGGCAGACGACCAAGGGTCAGGGTGGTGGGTGGGCGACGGCTAGCACCACACTCCTCTCCTTAAAATCCCTGTGTGGTGGCGGCGTGCCGTCCTCCCATCGCTGCCTTCGTTGTCTGTTTTCTTTCTTTCTTTTCCTCGCACTTCGGCTGCCTGTTTTCTTTCTTTTTCGCACTTCGGCGGTCACAGGCCAGCGCACAAATGTCCGACCTCCAAGTGCTCCGACCACGGCCACGACACTCTACCTCTCTAGTCTCGCTCGACCCCACGAGGCTCGTGCCACGGACGAACGAAAAGAAGGACTTATGCGAAAACGTAAACGACAAGACGTGGAGGAGCACCAGGCCTACTCCTCCTACCGTCCGTCCATCTCCAACTCTCTCTCTCTCTCTCTGTGATCTGTGATCTGTGAGGGTCCGCCCGCAGGCGCATTTTGTATACCGAGGCGGTGCCCGGTGCCGAGCGCAGGCAGAGCCCACAGGTCGGACCTTAAGACAGCGTTGTAGATCCCTGGGCGAGGGTGGTGGAGAGGGCGGTCCGGCGGCGGAGCACCCACCTCCTCCCGGCGTGCCGGGAGGCAGGATGTCATTCCCCGTGATCCAGACCGCCCCGTTGGAGGTAGGCCGCTCGTCTAGCCAATCAGCCTTAAGCGAGCGGCCTGGCCGTTGGAATGGCCCAAGACCGGTCCCCGTCGGGAGGGACTCTGGAAGAGGAGAGCAACCAGGTGCCCGGGGGCGTCCCGCCCACATCCGGATGACCTCTCCTCCTTCGACCAGCCGTCCCCGTGGTGGTCACGCGGCCTCTGGCTGGAACGGAATCTACCTCGCAAGCGAGTCACCCGGGCCGGCGCGCGTCTTCCGGGAGAGGGGCGGGGCCTTGATGACCTAGTTGCCCGGCCGGGCGTTCGGACTCTTCGCTCTCTCTGTTTGAGTGTTGTGTGCGAGAGGAGATGAGAGGCGTGGCGCGGTGGCGGTCCCCACGGCTCGCGTCAGGGGCGGCGACCCCCCCATCTACAGATGATGTGCGCATCCTAGATGGCAAACGCCATCTAGGATGCGTTTTCCATCTAAGGACACCGGGTGACTCCACTATGATTGGGTTCTCCAAGAAGATTTAATCATCTTTAGATGGTGCCCCGCGTCTTATGATAGCGCGTGACATCTCAGTACTCAGATACTGCAGTCGTCTTCAGACTCACAAGTGTGCCGAGATGATACCCTCATCTTGGGTTAGTCCATGCATCCCAGGATAGACAATGTGGCATCTGAGGATGCGCAATACATCTTAGGAACATGAGCGCGTTGTCGGATTTTTTCCAATATTTTCGATCGACAGTGTCGGAGTTTTTTGCCGAACCCAGACCCGAAATAAAAACCAGTCTTACATAATAGGCAACCGCAACCGTCCATGTAGTAAAGTCAGCATTAGCACAAGGGCTAAGTGCCCCCCACCATCACTCACTGGCTCCCAGTTCCATCAGTAGTATTCACATCTCACTTACGACTTAGCATACCGGCAACTGAAATTAGCATAGATTCACAGTCTCCATTCCAACTTTGATCCAAGGCGCAAGGGCTCTCACACCGCTCAAGTCTTTATAATTTAACTTGCATTATAATCATTAAATGCCAAGCATCTTGGGATGCGAAGCATCTTCGGATGATTCGAGCGCATCCCAGGATGCTCCGGCATCTTAGGTGAAAAAACATCTAGTTCTAGAGATGCTCGATCACACTTTATAAGCAACCAAGACAGATCAGTGTGCAGACCAGTCCAAGTAGGGTGCATCTTAGATGCATATTATCTCAAGATGCGCATATCATCTGTAGATGGGGGGGTCGCCGCCCGGCCCCTGACGTCGCAGCTGTGAGCCTAGACGCTATAGAGCACGCGGTAGAGGTGTATACCCACAGCGCGGGGGGTGGAGTGGTATAGAGCTGAGCTCCTGTGGTGTGTGGAGTGTGGTGCGACTGTGCAGTCGGCAGTCGCTGAGTGCTGTGTCTCACAACGACATAAGTCATGTGAGCTGTGCCCTATACAACGCTTATACGGTCATGGTGTGCAACCGCTTACCTGACAGTATACGGTCATGAAGTGCCCACAACGCCACCACTCTCAACGATGCGGTCGACCACGTCTCGGCAGTGGCCGCACCGCTCACCACCGCCGGTGGCCGACGGGCCCGGACGGTAGATCTTGAGGTCATCGTAGTGATAGCTCCACGGCTCGTCGCAGCGCTCGGACCATCGGAAGAAGGTGTAGCCGCACATATCGTCGGTCTCGTCGTTCCAGTGCTGGTGGCAGACGGCGAGCGTCTTGTTGCCGACGAGGATGATCACTGCTGTGTGCGGCCCCCCGGCCGTTCCCTCCCACAACCTGACACCGCATGAGGCCGTGTAGTTGTCGAACTGCAGCACGTCGCCCGGCTGCACACCGGCCGTGACGAAGGAGCCGTTGGCGTTCCACACCTCGTCCCAGCTGCCGGCTGGCGGCTCCACGGCAGCACCCCATACGTAGCACTCCGGGCGCTTCTTGTAGTCGTCGCCTGCGGCGGCGCCGCACATGCCACCGCCAGGGCTGCCGAGCGCCGCATCGCAACGCCACGGCGCGTCGCCGAGCGTCGACGAGACGGCGCACGCGGCCAGGTCCCAGCAAATACCGGTGGTGCGGTCCTCGAAGCATGCGGTGTTCGTGCCTGCGCCGTCCCTCGCATACGCCAGCACCTGCTGTGCCGGCGACCCGCTCGTGGCGGCAAGCGAGAACATTGCGAAGCCCGTTTTCTTTTATAAAGCGCAGCACTCTTCGCGCGCCCTCGGTTGGGGAGAGAACGAGGAGCTCAGGAAGGCAAGCAAAAAAGAAAAATCCGCGGCTGCATCCTCGCCCACGCCCCCGCCAGCGAGCTTGCGACAAATGGCCTCGTCCTACGAGTCAACGCTCGAGTACATCATGGCGTCCGACGAGAAGGGCTACCACTTCACCATCTTCTCGGACATCAAGGAGCCTGCCACCGCGCAGGTCGAGATCGCCGAGGTGACGCAGCTGCCGCCCGCACCCACGAGCGCGCTTGTAGCTGGCTTCACCCAGCCTGTCCCGATAGGTCTCGGTCGAGGGCAAGCCGAGCGTGCATGCCATGCAGATCAGCGGTATGAGCGAGGAGGCAGATCCGCACCTGAAGGAAGGTGCGCCCGACCCACTGCACCGCTCCAAGGGCGAGCGTGTGCCGTTTGGGTCGATCCTGCTTCCGCGCGGCGCGGCGACCGACGCCACGCTGGTCACCATCGACGCGGGATCCACCGCTGGCCTCGTTGTCTCCGTGCCGAGAAAGTGATTGCGCACCCATGCTCTCTGAGATATGTCCTCTCGTCGCTTCACGTCCGCTTGTTAGTAAACATATGTTAGACGCGCTGGCCGGTGTGCTGATCTGCCGTGATTAAACGCGTGTGTTAAGAGCACACATGTACATGTATGATAGGGTCGATATCTCAAACAGCACGTGATCTCAATCGTCCACGCGTCAGTGTGGCACTGCCAGGCGACCCCGGGAGACACGACCAACGGTTGAACCCTCACCAAGACGCGAGAGCGAGACACACCAGCCCCCGTACCCGGGCCGTAGAAGTGCGTCGCCGGTCGTCAGCCTCAGGATCGCGCTACGCAGCGCACTCAGAACCGAACCTTTGACCGCTTGCGCGCGGTATACTTTGAGTCGGCGCGCACCACCGCGCCGCGCCGCCGCTGCACCTCCTTCTTCTGGATGACCCACTCGCGCGACTTGGTCGTGGCGCGCCCGTCTCTGCGCCCATAGCTCCGCTTGCCTGGCCGCTGGCGCGCCTCGTTCCGCACACCGCCGCCGCCGCCGCCGGCCGCCGCCTCTGCCGCCCTCTCGTGCTGGTGCAGACGCGCCTGCGAGGGGAGGGTGGGCGGGTGAGGGGAGAAGGGGGGGGGGGGGGGGTTAATGGCTAGTGGGGGCGCGGCGCCTGCGGCATGCTGAAGCTGGGGTCGGGCGGGCCGGCGAGCAGCACCAGGAAGAACTTCTTTGCCTGGAGGGGGGGGGGGGGGGACTCGGTGCGGCCGCCAAAGGGGTGTGTGTCTTGCGGCTGCCTCTCGGAGGTGTCTCGGAGGCGTCTCGAACGTGTCTTGGTGGTCAGGCGCGACACGTCCTCTCGCCGTAGGACGAGCGGCGGAGGGGCGGTGCACTCCCGAGGGGTCTGCAAGGTCTCGGGTCGGTCCGCCGCCGGACGAGTCTGTCTCGGAAGTGTCTCGGGCGTCTCGGAAGAAGGCACCTTGGAGGAGTGCGGAAAGTCGACGACCAGGCCGCCCCCAAAGCCGGCGCGCATGGCCGACGCGGTGAGCAGCTGCAGCTGGTCGCCGTCCTGAGGGTAGAACTGCAGCGCCGCGCGGCCGCCGCGGCGCAGGCACTTGTACAGCGACTGGAAGAAGGCGAGCAGCCGCTGCCGCGGGTTGCACTCGGCGTGGTCCGAGTAGCAGAGCCACTGCACGGCCGAGATCGAGATTGCGCCATCAAACATGCCCTGTCGGAAGGGGAGGCCGCAGCCCATGTCGTGGTGGCACAGGTCTCCCTCGACCTCGCGGCTCTGAGCGACATTCAGCATGTCGCGCGAGATGTCGCAGCCGACCCACTGGTGGCCCGCCTCTTCGAGCACCTCCCCAGACAGGCCGGTCCCACAGCCGACGTCGAGGAGCAGGCACTCCTCGTCCTCGGGAAGGCAGAGCATCTCGAGCGCGCGCTCCGCCATCTGCGTCTGGATATCGATCATCCGCGACGAGTGCAGGTACTTGGCCGCCTCGGACTCGTTATAGAAGACATCGGGCGGCGCCTGCTCCTCCGGACGACACTTTGACGACGAGGCCATTCACGCGCGCGCTGCTGCCCTAGGGCTCGGAGACGTCCGGCGAGGGCGGAGCGTGGCCACCCTAGGCAGCGCGAAAAAGAATTTTTAGCGGCGTGTCAAAAAGAAAAAAATCGGGCACGGCTGAGAGCCCTGCCATGAACGCCATCAGCCCGACCATGCTCGCCGACTTGCGCCGGGGCGACCTGGCCTTGCTGCGCGCCCTCCTGGCCGGGCGGACGCGCGGGCCGGCGCTCACGGCCCTGCTCGACGCGCGGATCGAGGCCGAGAGCCAGTTCACGCTGCTTGCCTTTGCCGCTTACTACGGGCAAGCCGACGCGGTGCGGCTGCTGCTCGAGAGCGGTGCGAGCGTGGGGGCGACGACGGCTGGCGGCGGCTCCACCGCGCTGGTCATCGCGTGCCAAGAGGGCCAGCTCGGCTGCGTTCGGCTGCTTCTCGGCGCCAACGCTGACGCCGACCAAGCCAAGGGTGACGGCGCCACGCCGCTGTGCATCGCGTGCCACAAGGGCCAGCTCGAGTGCGTGCGGCTGCTCCTCGGCGCCAGCGCGGCGGTCAACCAAGGCACGGAGGACGGCACCACGCCGCTGTACATCGCGTGCTGGGTCGGCCACCTCGAGATCGCCCGGCTGCTCCTCGGCGCCAGCGCGGCGGTCAACCAAGCCATGGGTGACGGCGCCACGCCGCTGTTCACCGCGTGCCAGAAGGGCCATCCCCAGATCGCCCAGCTGCTCCTCGAGGCTGACGCGGCGGTCGACCAGGCCAAGAATGACGGCACCACGCCGCTGAGCGCTGCGAGCATGGATGGCCAGATCGACTCCGTCCGTCTGTTGCTCGCCGCCGGCGCTGCGGTGAACAAAGCAGACACTTGCGGCTTCACACCGCTGCTCGTCGCGTGCCAGGAGGGTCACCTCATGTGCGCCCGGCTGCTCGTCGGCGCCAGCGCGGCGGTCAACCAAGTCACGGGTATCGGCGCCACGCCGCTGTGCATCGCGTGCCACGAGTGCCGCCTCGAGTGCGTCCGGCTACTCCTCGGCGCCAGCGCGGCGGTCAACCAAGCCAAGGACGACGGCGCCACGCCGCTGTTCATTGCCTGCGAGAAGGGCCAGCTCGAGTGCGCTCGGCTGCTCCTCGGCGCCAGCGCGGCGGTAAACCAAGCCAAGGACGACGGCGCCACGCCGCTGTACAGGACGGCACCACGCCGCTGTACATCGCGTGCTGGGTCGGCCACCTCGAGATCGCCCGGCTGCTCCTCGGCGCCAGCGCGGCGGTCAACCAAGCCATGGGTGACGGCGCCACGCCGCTGTTCACCGCGTGCCAGAAGGGCCACCCCCAGATCGCCCAGCTGCTCCTCGAGGCTGACGCGGCGGTCGACCAGGCCAAGAATGACGGCACCACGCCGCTGAGCGCTGCGAGCATGGATGGCCAGATCGACTCCGTCCGTCTGTTGCTCGCCGCCGGCGCTGCGGTGAACCAAGCAGACACTGACGGCTTCACACCGCTGCTCGTCGCGTGCCAGGAGGGTCACCTCGTGATCGCCCGGCTGCTCGTCGGCGCCAGCGCGGCGGTCAACCAAGCCACGGGTATCGGCGCCACGCCGCTGTACGTCGCGTGCCATAAGGGCCAGCTCGACGTGCCCAGCTGCTCCTCGGCGCCAGCGCGGCGGTCAACCAAGCCAAGGACGACGGCGCCACGCCGCTGTTCATTGCCTGCGAGAAGGGCCAGCTCGAGTGCGCTCGGCTGCTCCTCGGCGCCAGCGCGGCGGTAAACCAAGCCAAGGACGACGGCGCCACGCCGCTGTACATCGCGTGCGAGAAGGGCCAGCTCGAGTGCGCCCGGCTGCTTCTCGAGGCCAGCGCGGCGATCAACCAAGCCAAGGGTGACGGCGCCACGCCGCTGTGCATCGCGTGCCACAAGGGCCAGCTCGAGTGCGTGCGGCTGCTCCTCGGCGCCAGCGCGGCGGTCCAAGGCACGGAGGACGGCACCACGCCGCTGTACATCGCGTGCTGGGTCGGCCACCTCGAGATCGACCGGCTGCTCCTCGGCGCCAGCGCGGCGGTCAACCAAGCCATGGGTGACGGCGCCACGCCGCTGTTCACCGCGTGCCAGAAGGGCCACCCCCAGATCGCCCAGCTGCTCCTCGAGGCTGACGCGGCGGTCGACCAGGCCAAGAATGACGGCACCACGCCGCTGAGCGCTGCGAGCATGGATGGCCAGATCGACTCCGTCCGTCTGTTGCTCGCTGCCGGCGCTGCGGTGAACAAAGCAGACACTTGCGGCTTCACACCGCTGCTCGTCGCGTGCCAGGAGGGTCACCTCATGTGCGCCCGGCTGCTCCTCGAGGCCAGCGCGGCGGTCAACCAAGTCACGGGTATCGGCGCCACGCCGCTGTACGGTGCGTGCCACGAGTGCCGCCTCGAGTGCGCCCAGCTGCTCCTGGAGGCTGACGCGGCAGTCAACCAAGCCAAGGACGACGGCGCCACGCCGCTGTTCATTGCCTGCGAGAAGGGCCAGCTCGAGTGCGCTCGGCTGCTCCTCGGCGCCGACGCGGCAGTAAACCAAGCCAAGGACGACGGCGCCACGCCGCTGTACATCGCGTGCGAGAAGGGCCAGCTCGAGTGCGCCCGGCTGCTTCTCGAGGCCAGCGCGGCGATCAACCAAGCCAAGGGTGACGGCGCCACGCCGCTGTTCATCGCGTGCCAGAACGGCCAGGTCGAGTGCGCCCGGCTGCTTCTCGAGGCCAGCGCGGCGGTCAACCAAGCCAACGTCAACGGCGCCACGCCGCTGTACATCGCGTGCGAGACGGGCCAGTTCGAGTGCGTTCGATTGCTCCTCGGCGCCGACGCGGCAGTCAACCAAGCCAGGGAGAACAGCGTCACGCCGCTGCACATCGCGTGCTACCATGGCCACCCCGCCATCGTGCTCCGCTTGCTGCGGGCGGGCGCAGACACAGCGGCGTGCGATGCGAACGGCAAGACGGCGCTGCAGCTGGCCAAGGAGGAGGGCCACGCCGAGTGCGAGCGCGCACTTGTGGCGGCGGCGAGGGAGGCGAAGAGAGCGGAGATTGAGGCGAAGGTGGCGAGGGCAGTGGCCGAGAGGGCGGCGGCAGAGAGGGTGGAGGCCGAGAGGGCGGCCGAGGAGACTGCGGCGGCGCTGCTGGCGGAGGAGGAGGCGGGGAAGTGGCCCGAGGAGAAGAAGACGGCCAAGAAGAGGGGCAAGAAGAAGAAGAAGGGCGGCGGGGGAGGCGCTGGGCCGTCGCAAGAGGCCGAGGCGCCGGCAGAGGAGGCGGCAGAGGAGGCGGTGGCGGCTGCGGAGGAGGCGGAGCTTGCGGCGGCGCTCGAGGAGAGCGTGAGGGTGGAGGAGGGGAGGCGGGCGGCGGAGGCGCAAGGGCCGTCTTCGGCCGCAGAGGCGCCGGCTCCGAGGGAGGAGGAGCCGCCGGCCGACTTCATCTGCCCGATCACGACCGAGCTCATGAGTGACCCGGTGATGGCGGCGGACGGGCATTCGTACGAGCGGTCGGCGATCGAGCGCTGGCTCGCGACCAAGTCGACGAGCCCGATGACGGGCGAGGCGCTCGTGCACAGCTTCCTCGCCGCCAACCACACGCTGCGCCGGCAGATCCGGGAGTGGGAAGAGGCGAACGCATGCTGAAGAGCGCAGCGCCGCCCGCCACCGTCGGCCGTCGGCTCACACTCACACCGTCCCGGGACTGCTGGGACTAGCGGACTACGCGCCCTGAGAGGACGGCGACCTCGTTGCGCATGGAACAAAAAGGGAGAGTCGGTCTGAGCGCTGAGGGCCTGAGCTGCGGCCTGAGCGCTGAGGGGGCCTGGCTGAGGGGGTGTTTTCGGTGGACGGTGGACTAGTTGCAAAAAGTCTGTGGTGCAAAACCCGCCCAAAACTACCAAAATCGCTGTCACGGCCAGCTCGGCACTATCTACTCAAAAAAAGTGACGTAGAGCACCCACTTTTTAAGCGTTCGCCGCATACACAAGGTCCGCCTGCGTGCGGCGCCAGCTTCTCAGGGCCGTAGCGCGAAAAACGACGGAGGAGATGCATCCTAGCTGTCGCCGCCGAAGGCGACTCGACGCCGCTGAGATCGGAGATCAAGCTCTGACAGGTCACACGTCGCTCCTTTGACGCCGACGTGACTCACCCGTGCAGAGCGCATCAGGACACGGTCTCGACGCGCTCGGTACGACGCCTGCGACCCGTCTCGGGTCAGGTGGCACGACGCTCATCGCGCCTGCCAGCGCTGCCGTGCAGGTTGCCACGACAAGGTTGAGCACGCTTCTATACGCTCGCCCAGCCTTCCTTTCCATCCCATTAGGCAGCCTGGGAACGGTGGCGGTCAGAGGCAAAGCCTGCGAGGGGTGGTGGAACCACATGTCACGGCCACCGCCGGCTCGACGCGACGATAGCCTCCGGAGGCTGACTTTGAGGCACCATCATCGGACGATGTCGACGATTTGGGTCGCTCTCGCGGTATCCAGGTAGCCCCCCATACTAGTATCACCAGCCATGGCCTCAGGGAGCGCGGGCGAGGGCGCTGGGAGCAACACGGACAAAAAAAACATCAAAAGTGGTCTCATTGTGACACCACCCGTATTTGCAACTAGTCGGTGGACGGACGGTGCGGCTTGTGTGCGCGAAAAGAATACTAATTTTTTGCGGTTATTTTTTTGGCTTTTGCGTTTTTGCCGCCCGCGCCCCTGGACTGTGGACTCCCAGAAGTCTCCACCGGCACCGCCCTGTTTGCACAGAGGCTCTAGCTGAGTCCTGAGTCTGCTCTGACAGAGGTTCGCGCTGCTCCAGTGACGAGTGAGCAGTGTGCTATGCTCCACACTCCGCTGCTCCTGTGACTCGGCGCATCATGCCGCACACTCACGTCAGACACATATGCGCCGTGGTCGGTCTCCGCCCCCCGTGCCCTGCGACTCCCAAGGCTCAGCGCCACTAGTAACGGCGGAAAGATCGATGGGCTCCCCCCTCAGCACTGAAGGCTCGGCGAGGCCCGCGCCTGTCTTCCCTTTGCGGAGAGCTGTGAGGCGGCGGCGCGGCCGTGCAGGCGCCGCTCTACTCAAGGGCCGCGAGCGAGAAGGCCGCGTCGAGCGCAAGGGGCGAGAGGGCGGAGGGGCGAGAGGGCGGAGGGGCGAGAGAGCGCGCGGGGAGGGGGGGGGGACGGCGGGCGCGGGCGCTCTCGCTCGCTCCGCGACGAGCTGCCGCCCCTGCCGCCGCGCCGCCGCTCGCCGCTTCGCCTCGAGCGCGTGCAGCGCGTCGAACTGCTCCCAGAGAGGTCGCTTGAGCGGCACGACGCCCGCCTGCGCGCCGCGGGGCAGCAGCCGGAGCCACGAGAGGAGGTCCGAAGGCTCAGAGGTGGCAGACGCGCCCTCGTTCTCCTTCTCGTCTTCGGGGCTTGCCGCCGCCTCGTCCGCCGCCGCCAGCCAGCTCGCCTCTGCCTCTGCGGCGGCGGTGGCCGCGTCCGACGCCGAGTGGGTGCGCCCCTTGCGGAAGGGGCGCAGCGACCCCTTCGGCGGGGCTTCGTGCGGGTCGAGAGGCGCCCACGGGTCCCACGTCACGGAGGTCGGGCTCGCGCCGCCAGCCGCCGGCCGCGCGCCGCAGCGTGCGCCGCCAGCCTCGCCGCGCGCGGCTTGAGCGCTGTCGGAGGCCGGCGGGGCGTGCTCGGAGGTCTCGGCCCGCTCCTGCAGGGGAGGGGGGAGGAAGGGGGCAAGCTCGGCCGTGTGCGCCTCGTCGGAGGGAGGGCTCCGGCCGGGGGTGCGGGGAGAGGCGGGTGGTGGTGGTGGTGGTGGTGGTGGTGGTGGGGGAGGGGGGGGGGGGGGGGAGGGGAGGAGGAGGAGGAGGGGAGGAGGAGGAGGAGGGGAGGGGCTGCCCTCGCGCCTCGAGCAGCAGAGTCGCCTCCGTCGCGTCGCCGCCCGCCCAGCCTTCCGCGGGCTCCTCCCACCCGCCGCCGCCGTCGTCCGCGGGCTGCCAGGTGTCGTCGTCGTCCTCGTCGCGCATCGCGACCGTCCCGTCGTCGCCGCCCTCCTCGCTGCCGCCGCCGAACGCCGCCGCCGCGCCGGCCGCCGAGCGCGCGTTTGGGGTGAAGCCCGCTCGGTCGGCGGGGGAGAGGGCGGCGAGGACGTGGGGCGGGAGGTAGACGTTGGGCAGCAGCAGCGCGCCCGACGCGTGCACCACACACGAGTGCATCTTGTACTCGCTCTCGCCGCCCGCGCCGGAGGAGGAGGGGCCTCCCCCCAAGAATGGCGTGCGCGAGAGGGTGAAGGCGGACGTGTCGGGCGCGCCGCGCGTCGGCGCGAGCGAGATGTTGGCCACCTCCTGGAGCGTGTCGTCGAGCGTCAGCCACGCGTCCTCCGCCGCCATCTCGACGACGTCGCGGTCGGTCCCGTCCTCTGCAATCGAGGCGGCCTGCCTTGCGACCCGCTTCTGCTCGACGACCTGGTTAAGCACTTGGTAGACGAGGGTGTAGAGGTGCTCCACCTTCTTCGAGTAGATGCAGGTCGAGCCCTGGATCAGCAGCGCCGCCTCTGCAAAGTTCAGCGTCGTCCCGTCGTCGAACGAGATTGTGATCGACTCGAGCTCGCCGAGGTACTCCTCGAGCTCGCTCGCGATGTCGATCGACCAGTTCTGCGCGAGGTCCCGGATGGGCTCGAGCAGGTGCGCGTAGCGCGCATCAGAGCCCTGCGTCGCCATTTTCGGCCGAGGAGGATGCGGGAGGCTTGGCGGCTGGCGGTCCGAGTCCGAAGGCGACCGTTAGTCAAGCGAGTGAGCAGCGAAAAGAATTTTACAATTCTCCCCGCGCACAACGTCCTCCCATCCCTCCCTTGGGTTGTCTGTTTTCTTTCTTTCTTTCTTTCTGTCCTCCCATCCCTCCCTTGGGTTGTCCGTTTTTTCTTTTTTTGCTGGCGCGAAAAGAATTTCATTCTATACTCAAACGAGACATCATCTGTCCAGCGTCCACCCATACCGCGTTGGTGTCCAGTCCGAGCCTGGCTGTTCTTCACCTTCCTACATACATACATAAACGAGAGTGCGCAGTGGCCAGAGACAGCAGCCTCCCGCAGAGCGCAGTCCGAGGCGACCGTTACTCCGTTAGCATTTTTTCTTCTTGTCACGGATCTTCAAACGAGCGTGCGATGCCGTGATGCAGTGCGAAAATCCCTGTGAGCTGTGTGGTGGTGGCGTGGCCGCCGTTCTCCCATACCACCCACCCTGGCAGCTAGCTGCTAGGGCCTTATCTTTTCTCGGCGAATTTGCGTTGACGTCGAAAGAGAACGCGGCAAAAGAGCTCCTTATCAGCTGGTCGGCCGCCATGTGGGCCTCCGGGCCCGCTGCGGCGGCGCGGCCGGTCGAGGCCGGGCTCGGCCCGGCCCGCGACGGCTGGCCGCCGACGAGCGCGCTCGCGCTGCTCGTCAAAATGGCGGCGGTGGCGATTGCGGCGACAAAAGTTCAGTCGTACAGCGCTCAACGCTCAGGCGTCTGTCGTCTGTTGTCGCATTTCGCACACGCGCGCGCCGCGCGACCCGCGTCGCTCCGCGAGGGCATGAGCCTTCCGCGATTCGATCCCGCAGCCAAAAAAGCTGCTCGCGCTCGAACCGACTCCGCCATCGCGGCCGCAGCTGTTGAGCTCTCCAGAAGACTGGTGCCTCATATGCTGCCTCCCTGCGGATGCTGCCGGCGAAGGAAGAATAATAATACAGTACTCGAAAACAAAGGTAAGGATTGGCGCGCACTGGCACTACCACAGGTACCAACAAAGCTAGGAAAGGTGCGTCTCTCCTGGTGTCGGCGTTCACCATGCCGCGATTCTTCGTCGTCCCCTATCTGTCTATATCACCTCCATCCATAGCGCCCTCCCCGCCTCTCTCTCATCAGGTGCCAAAGTATCTGTCGCCAAAGTCGCCCAGCCCGGGGACGATGTACTTTGACCCGTTGAGGACGGGGTCGATGGCGCCGGTGACCACCCGCACCGCCGGGAAGGCGCTCGCCATCGCCTGCAGTCCCTCCTTGACGCAGAGGACGTTGACAAAGATTATGCTCTCCGGTGGCACGCCCGCCTCGGCGAGCAGCCTGCACGCGGCGACGGCGGAGCCGCCCGTCGCGAGCATCGGGTCGAGCAGCAGCACGGGCCGCGCCGCGATATCGGGCGGCAGCTTCGAGTACAGCAGCTGCGGCAGAGCCGTCTCCTCGTCGCGCTGGATCAGGATCTTTCCCACCGCGACCGAGGGCATCATCGCGCGCACCTCGCCGAGCATGCAGTCGGCGGCGCGGAGGATCGAGACCGCGCAGATGCGCTCCTCGTCGGGAAGCCTGCAGCCCGCGTATGGGCCACATGGCGTCTCGACCGTCACCTCCTCCGACGGCAGCAGCGCAAGCGCCTCCTCAATGAGAAGGCGCGTGAGGCGGTTTGACGCGGTGACAAACTGGTGGCGCGACGCTGCCTTATCGCGGATGGCCGTGTGGAGCGCGCGGGTGAGCTTCGTCTCGCGGAGCACGGTGACATTGGGCGTGTCGGCCATTTTTACGGCCCGTACGGGCAGCGGACTCCGAACGCTGCGCTTCTAGGGCGGCACACACACCGTACAAAAGAAACATACGCGCGAAGTGGGCGGGCGCGCGCAGCTGGGCGCGCGGTGCGGCGCGGCGTCTGCTGTGACGGCTAGCACCACTCTTCTCCCCTAAAATCCCTGTGTGGTGGCGGCGTTCCGTCCTCCCATCCCTCCCTTGGGTTGTCTGTTTTCTATAAATAAATAAAACGGACACACCAAACAAGGGGTGGGAGAAGGATCGTTTCCTTTCTGAAAGAAAGAAAGAAAACAGACACGCCAAACGAGGGATAGACTCGAGGGGCCAGGATACGCCGCGAGGAGGACGGAGTTGCGCCGACAGGCGAAAGAAGCCGCGAGAACAAGGGACCGGCAGGTGGCGGCGTCGCAGGACGAGGCAGAAGAGAACAACGCGTCAGAGGAGGAAGTGACAAGGGAGAGAACGACGAGGGTGGGACGACCGCGAGGTGGCATGAAGGTTGCAGCGAGAATCGGCGAGAGACTGCGAAGAGAGATAGGAAGAGGCAGACTCCCTAGGGTGGGCGACGGATAGCGCACCACACACCTCTCCTTAAAATCCCTGTGTGGTGGCGGCGTGCCGTCCTCCCCATCCCTCCCTTGGGTTGTCTGTTTTCTTTCTTTCTTTCTTTAGGGATGGGACGAGGACAGGGTCCCCACCTGCACGAGCAGGATTTTGGAAGGACGATCAGGGGGACAGGTGGGGCTCTCCTGCTCCTGACAAGGGACACGACAGGCTCGCAGCGCGGTGCGCGGTCCTTTCTTTCTGGAGGCTTGTGTTGCATACTTTAATTTTTCAGGGGGATTTGAAACCGGAAAGCGCCCGTCGCCGGAAAGGCCGTGGGTGGGAACGCCGTTTGTATATGTTCGGCGCCGCGGCCGCTGTCCTAGGCTTTGCCAGCGTCCGCGACGTAGTGGTGACGTACTCTGAGGCCCTGGCCTTTGCCGAGGCGCACAGGTGCGCCGGGCTGCACGACAGCCCCACTTTTGCCCAAGACCTCCATCGCACCTTTCGTGCGCACCACCTTGGCGACGGGAGCCTGCAAGAGCACTCGCAGCGGGAACTTGAGCACCACTCTACGGCTGTCACGGCGGAGGAGCGCTCCCTGCTCTCTTCCTGCGTTAGCAACAGGGGCAGGCGCCGGCGGCTTGAGCTCGAAGCGTCGGGCAGGAGCGCACAAGCGGTCAGCTCTGTTGCCACACATCACACCTACACCGTCGCCGTCGGCGACAGCTGCTACTCCATCGCGCAAAGCCAATGCAGCGACGGCAGCCGCTGGCAGAGCGTGATTTGCGGCCAGAGTGAAAGCACCTGCACCAACCTCCAAGTTGGAGAACAGATCTCATACTCTTGCGCAGGGTGCGGTGGGGGCGGCGTCAGTCCCAGCGCCACGCCCAGAAGCGTGAGCGATGTGAAAATCACTTTCTACGCTTGGGACGACAACTGCGACAATGGCTGGTCGCGAGGCTGCGGCAACGCAAACACGAAGTACAGCCGCACGGGCAGCCTGGCTGGTGGCACTGCCGGCGGCAATGGCACGTACTCCGACCCAATTACACTGGCCACTAACCCGAACTTCATCACGCCTGGCACGCGCGTCTACATCCCGTTCTTCCGCAAGTACTTTGTCATGATGGACCGCTGCTCGGGGTGCATCGAGTCTCACGAGGACTGGGTCGACCTTTGGATGGGCGGCCTTCCTCTCAATGGCGTGAATGTGAACCAAGCGGCGTCCGACCACTGCGAGAATAGCCTCACTCCAGAGAACCAGCGGATCGTCCTCAACCCAGACGACGGCATGGCTGTCAGCACCAGCCCGTTCTTTGACTGCGCCGGACCAGCGTGCACTGCGAGCGCGTGCTGCACGACCTGTCTCTTCGCCGACAACAGATAGCTCATAGTCGGCTCTCGTAGAGATGAAGCCCCGCCGTCCTGATGCTTGAAGCCGCCGACCGGTGACGGCGGAGCTCTGGGGAGGGTGTGCTGCTTGCGGGTTGTCCTCACGACGGCGCCCTTGCGCGCACGGCGCCCCGCAGCGGCACTTCTTGACGAGACAACGAAAGAAATAGTAAGCGCTGCGCTGGTGCATGGCCATCCCCGTGTCTTCTTACGACCCCCAGAAATCCTGAGGTGTCGCATAGTGCCTAGTAGTGCTCTCTCTCTCTCTCTCTCTCTCTCTCTCTCGGTGGCGCTATATCATGCGGTGTGTTGTGTTTTCCTCGTGGGTGCGTGTCGCCCACGGTACGCACCAAGCATCCGGGGCGATACGAGACATGACTCTGACTCTCCGCGGGGAGACATGTGTGTCTGCTCTATTTCTACGTATTTATTTAGCTCTCAATGTGGCAAGGACGACGCGCTGAAAGTATCGTCCGAGGGGGACGGGCCCGCTCGGCGCGCTGCATGGCGTGTCGAGCAGGTCGTTGACGAGGGACTCGTAGTCGGCGAGCAGCGCCTGCTTGTGCTCGCCGGCGTAGATGCCAGCCGAGACGTGGGCGAGCAGCGCGACGTCGCAGCCGAGGCGCGCCATCGCGACGAGGCCAGCGTGCAGTGCGGCCTCGACGCCCGCCCGGAAAAGGGGGTAGTCTTCCGCGGCGAATCTGTTGTAAGTACGCCGGGTGGTGCTCCTGTCGCTCCGTCCCCACGCACCGCAATTCGGACCGGCGACGAATACGAGGGACGTGGGAAACGCCTCCGTCACGGCATAGCTCTTCTGCGCGGGCGGAGCGACGCGCTTGCTGCTGAGGAGAGCGTCCTCGACGACCCACGCGTCACCATAGAAGGAGGCGCTGCGCGCCCGAGTGTAATCCACATGCTGAATCGTGAACTTGTCAGTTCCGGCGGGGTTGCTCATCCCCCACTGGCCGGCGATGGTCTGCTGGTAGAGCATATTGGCCAGCGGGTGTGCGCCATCCGCGACTGCATCGGTGAGTGGTTGGCCGTCGGCATGGCACGTGGTGGCGAGCCAGTTGGAGATCACGTCCTCCTCCTGCGTCGAGTGGTTGGGATGCAGCGCACGCACGGTGCCGTCCTCGAAGCCGCATGCTCCGCCCGGACGGCCAGAGTTCCCCGCCACCATTGTAGCGATGCGAAATGGCCGGCCCGATTGCGCCAGCAGCTCGATGTGAAGATTACGGCCCACGTTGCTGATGCCGCCCGCGTCCACAATGACCTCGAAGCGAGCCGCTTGAGAGACGTGGGTCGGCGGGGGGATGGAGATCCTCACCGGGCGATTGTGGTACAAGTCGCTCTTGATATTGTGGTGGGCACAGCCATAGGGCAACCGCACTGCACGTTGCGGGCACTGTTGAGGCGGCTGTTGAGGCCGTGGCGTCGGCTGTGCAACGAGGATGCGGCGCAAAATTAGTGGGAGTACGTGACTGAGATCGCCGAAGACACCCTTCACTGCCGCCGCTCTGAGCTCGGAGGCGGTGACTGTAGCTCTCTGAGGTCCAAACGCTGGGTTGCCAGCAATTTCTTCGGCCGTCACCGTACTGGAGGGCGCGTCTTCAATTAGCGCGTCGACGAGAGCGGAAAATTCTGATAGGTCGAGAGCACCGTCGCCGTTCGCATCAAATGTAGCGACCAGCTTTTGCCACGTCTCGTCCGAGAGCAGAACTGCGCTGTCATCCGCAGCCGCCGGCATCGAGACGAGCGTCTCTATGCTGGCCTCGCGCGCCTCCAGGATCGCGCTGTCATCCGCGGCCGCCATCGTCGCGATCGTTCGGCTTCGCGCGCGTGTGTGTGTTCGACTCGGCGTTCGACTCGGCGGGCGCTCTCGCGGCCCACTCGGCTCGCGGTATCTATTCGCGGACCCGCGGCAAGATATGACCATCGCCGCCACCGCCGGCTGTGCCCAGAGCGAGCGCTTCGGCTGGCCGCGCGAGCAGTGTGCACGGACGGTGTCGCTGGGCACGGCCACTCTCTCCCTCGCCAATCACGGCTGCCCGCGCCGACTGGTGCGTTGCCCTCCCCTCTCTCCTACTCTCTGAGTACGTTGAGAGAACCCCGTGCGTGCTCCCTGTGGCAGCGCGACGCCTTCAACTCGTCGTTTGGCTACGAAGCGCCGCCAACGGCGGCCATGCTCTGTCGCGCTGACGGCCAGCACTCGCTTCCGGGCCAAGGCGTTACAATCCAGGGCGAGTTCAACCGCTCGACGGCGCTTTCTGTCACGCGTAGTACCTGCCAGACGTTCGAGTTTGGTCGTGCCAAGGCAGGCAAGCAAGCAAGGCAGAGGCACGCGGGACCGGCGCTGATTGGTGCCGACGCCGACTTGGGCCATGTCCTGCACCGTGGCCCTGCGGGCCGCTTCAGCCTGATGAACATGGGAATGAATTACTCGGCGTGGGCGCACAACACCCACGGGCGGCGGCACGACGGCCTCTGGACGCCTTGCACGAACGTGGCCTTCATCATGTGCGCCCTGCGCGGCTGGCTTCCGGGGCAGGAGTCGCGCCGCACGTTCCACATAGCGACGCCTGGGCGCGAGCTGATGTCGCGCTGCCGACCCTGTGGTGAGTGCCTTCCGGGACTCCACTGGGACGAGTGCTTTATTGTGCGGGCCGAGTACTGCATGGTGGACTCGTTCTGCTCAAACGGCGCCGAGATATGGGGCTCCACCGGCAACTGGACGTGCGTGCCGCGCAGCAAACAACGCAAAGTGGGGGATCGTGATGCTGTGGGTGGTAAGTGATGTCGAGTGATAAACGTCTCAACACACATCAAAGTGGGGGGCCAAGGGGCCGTTCCTTTTTCGACGCGAAAATCGGCATTTTACCAATCCCCACCACCTCCCGTCTGCGCCGACGCGGCTAGCCTGCAAAAGCCAAGGAATGCAAACCGTGAGCGGCCCTAGCGGGTCGCGATGCGTCGCACCGACCGCCATGCTTGCGACGCTGCTGGTGCTGCTGGCTGGTTTGTCTGCTGTCCCGCACATTGCGGGGAGGCAGGAGGCTAACGATTGGCCACCCAGTCTGATGTCCACGATGTCGGGATATTGGGAAAGCATCACCGCAAAGATGTCCCAGATGCAGAGCAATGCACGCGGGAACATTATCATGGACCAATTCGTCATGGAGGAGTTCGAGCCTCCCCCGGGCATGCCAAACGGGACAAAGTGCTCGTACATCATGCCGTGGATAGAGAATGCGCTAAACCAGGTGATCAAGGAAACGATCCTCAGCGTCACGGAGCATCCCGTACTCTCGAGCAAGGGTCCCGGCGCGCTGCCCATCGCAGCCTCTGTAAAGGTCGGAGTCCTGACCTTGGCGGTCTCCAACCTGACAATCATCAAGATGGACCTGGCACACATCAGGATGGGACAGTGCGTGAAGCCCGACATTGTGCAGGACATGGTCAACCACGGCATCGATAGCATTTTGCACCCGGTCTCTCACGGCAAAGAAGATGTCTCGAGCGCATGGGACATCATGTCAAAGCCTGGCCAATACGTTAGCGACTTCGCCACCGGCGTGAAGGGCTTCTTTGTCACGGGATTCGAGACGGGCATCTGGACGCAACAATTCACTAAGTACTCGCCTCAATGGCTGCCCGACGCGTACGTCGTCCGGATTGAGGAGGTCAACCTGACTGAGGGGCTTGTTGCGCACTACGATGGCGTCCCCGTCCCTTTCACCGGCGGCATGGGCGCCTTTGATGTCGGCGCCAGGTCTGACACACGTGGTTGGCTCGAGGTGACCGCCTTCTACTCACGGCCAGACATTCTGGGAGGGACGACAGGGAACGACAACGGAGAGGTGGTCGAGGGTGGCGGCACGAAGATCACAGCTTGCAAAGGCAACTTCAACCTCGGCCATACCGATCTGACATGGCCCATGGGCGTGCACGTCGACGACATGCCCATGCCTGTTGCGCTGGACCTCGGCCCGCTCATCTGCTGGGGACCGGCAGCGGCGCTTGGTCCGCTGAGTGGCTTGGTAGGCCTCGATTATGAGACGGAGACGAAGCTCAAAGCAGCAGAGGCCAGCGGCCAGTTTGTCGGTCTCGCGCCAATGCTGAATACCATCCTGCGCAAGAATCTTCCTGTACGCGCTTGCGGTCCAGCGCCGACGCCGCCCCCTACCACCCACTCCCAAACCCTCCCTGCCTGCAGGGGAGCGAATACGAGGGGTGGTACTTGGGAAAGTCCGTGTACGAGGGGGGGCAGAAACTCTCCACAAAGTTCCACGCCTGGGCCTACGGCAAGACGAAGCTTCAAGTGTGGCCACCCCCGCCACCCCCGCCACCGGAGGAGGGAGGCTGGTTCCTCGGGTGAGAGAGATCCCCGGGAAGTTTGACGCCCTGGGGCATCGGGAGAGCTGATATCACACTCAGACTGATCGCTCGCACACGTCTAGCTTTCGTACGTTTGTCTTTTTGTGTGGGTGTGCGGTTGCCGATGTTTTCGTTTTTTTTTCCTCGCCCGACGACGCGGACATACAGCATACACTCTCACGACTCAGTCTGAAACGTCTCACGCGCTCGTCAGCCAACCGCACAAGTGGCACTGCTTTCGGCTGGCCTGGGAAGGGTCCGTGTCGATAAAGACCTGGGCGGCTCCAAACTCGCCAGCGAGGCGCGCCTGGCTGCTCAGCAACTTGGCGAGCAGCGCCGCTGCAGCGCGCTTCTCGTCGTGCCACACGACGAAGCGGACGGTCGTTCGGCTGTCGCCCTGCGGCGGCGCCGCCTCGACTGCGCGCTTGTCCGAGATTGTGAGGGCGCGAGGCCAGCCACGCGCGGCGGTCCGCCACCGCTCACGGAGCGGATCGTCGCTCTTGATCCCCATCTTGAGGGCGCCCACCTCGTCCGCGCCGCCCTCCGGCCGGGAGAGCAGCAGGGCGCCCTCCCACAGCTTGGTCATCCCGCCCGCCGGGCTGGCGGAGCGAGGGCTCTGGCTCGGCGGGCCTGCAGCCACCACCTGTGGCGTGGCGGGCGGCGGGCGGAGCGGCGGCGGCGGCGGCGGCGGCGGAGCAGCAGCTGCGGCGGCGGCAGCAGCAGGGTCGAGGGCAGGAGCTAGCAGCAGCAGGGGACCGTCGCTGGAAATTGCAACGGGAGCGGGCGCGCGTGGTGGTGCTGGCCGCGCGCAGGACGAGTGGAGAGCTGCGAGGTTCACGGCGGCGACGGGCGAGATGACTGACAGGGAGAGGCCGCTCGCGGCGAGGGCTTCCGGCACAGGCGCAAACGGGTGCGCTTCTGGATCGGTGCATGTCGGCAGCGGAAGAGGCACCGAGGCGGTCAGTAGCAGCACGTGCCGGCATTCGCGCGCCGCTGTCCACGGCACCGCACTCGCCACCAGCGTCAGCGCGCACAGAAGCTCGGGCGGGTCCAGCCCGCCGTGCAGCGGCACTGCGTCGAGCCAGCGGCGGAGCGTCGCCGGCGAGGTTGTGAAGGGAGAGATGGCGCCCCAGCCGGTGCTCTCGTCCCGCACCGTGAGGAGGGCCGCCTCGGTGCTCGTCCGGGCCTCGCCGAGCCAGCGCTCGAGGAGTGGCCAAACAGTGTCGTCGAGGAGCGAGCGCAGGTGCGGTGCCATGGCCTCGGTCGCGTCCAACACGAGGAGAATCTGGCGTCGCATAGCGTGACTGACGTACGTGTTGCCCGAGTCGCGCAGGGAGCGGGCGCGGGAAAATATTTCTTTTCGAGCGGCGACAGCATGCGAATAGCACCCCGCGTGACGAGTACCGGGGGACCGGCATGAAGCATGGTGATTCCAAAAGCAAAACACATTGTCATGAACGTAACACAATGCTCAATGGTCAATGCCGGCGACGGCTGCTACAGCGCAGGGCGAAGGAGTCCAAGCAGACGAGATTCGGGAGCAGGCGGGGGGGGCGCCCGCCGCACGCGGATCGGCGGCGGTGCGCGTGCAGCGCAATCTCGGAGATGCGCCGCGGCGCCACTGGAAAAAGGGCGCGCGCTGGCCTGAGGCCAGCGGGGGGGAGCCGCTACCGCGCGCCGTCGCGCGCTGCCCTGCCCTTCGGCGGCGGCATCCCCGGCGTCGGCCGCCCGGCCGCCCTCTGCGTGGCTGCCTGCTTGGCCTTGCCAGCCTTGGAGGCCTGGTGAGAGAGGTGTGCGGCGTGGTGAGAGGTGGGGAGGGGAGGGGGGGGAGGGAAGAGGGAGGGAGAGGGCGCGCGCCTTGTTGGCCTTGGTGTCGATCTTCTTAAAGAAGGGCGCGTTTTTCAGGATGTCCGGCAGGACCATGAAGCGCACGTGCGAGCCGCGCAGAAAGACGCTGAGGGCGGGCGGGCGGGCGGGTCGGACGCGGCGGCGCGAGTGGGGAGGCGCGGGCCGCAGCCGGGCGGCGGGCGCGAGCGCACTTGGAGAGCATCTCGACCTGCCCGTCCTTCATCGTCTTTGTGCAGTTGGAGAGGTGGACGTTCATGTTGTCCTCCGCCTCGTCGAGCTTTCCCCTGTACACCTCGCCGTTCTTGAGCTCGACGGTGACGGTGTGCCCCTCCGCGTCGTGCAGCACCTTGATGGGGATGCCGATGTTCGACATGCTCTTCTGAGCCGGTGACGCGCGACGCGGAGGCGCGCTACAGCGGTAGGCTTCGAGGCTGACGCGGCGGTCAAAAGAGAAAGCGCCAACCAGACCACTCTCTTGAAAAAAGAAGAAAACGCTGCCCCGCCAAGCGAGCAACCAGCGACTCTCTCAAGTCACTATTGGGAACCCTGCATAGCGCCGGGTGCAGCTCCCAACCCGGAGCGCCGGCCATGCCCGACCTGACCGACCTGAAGGAAGATCTCCAGGCGCACACACCCGCCGCTCACATTCCGCCCCATACCGCCCAACTCCCCCCACCCCCCAATCCCCCACACCCCGCCGCCGCCGGCCGCCGCCGCCGGCCGGCACTCTGGGTGGTGATATGGCACTTCACCAATGTTGGAGTTCGATGGCCACGGCACCCGATCCGGCGCCGGGGCGTCGTTGGCCGTGCCGCCGCCTCCCGTTCCCGCTCCCCCGTCCCCCACCCCCCCCCCTTACCACATGCCTCTCTCCCCCCTCCTCGCGACTTTTGCCGCCCCCGCAGCCTGCCACCCACCATCCCTCTCCGCGTCGCGTGCAGTGCCCGCGCTCGTGGCGCGTGGTTTCGACGAGCGCCGCGGGCGACAAGATCTACGAGTCGCGCACCGGTCGCAGGCTTCGCTCCGTGCAGGAGGTCCAGCACCACCTCAAGGTGAAGAGCGCGCAGCTCTCGCACCCTCGCGGCGCACACACGACGAGCGCTCGGCCTCCGCTGCTGACAGAAGCCTCGCCGACACCCCGACGCGTGGTCTCCGCGCACCTCCCTCCGACCCGCTCCCTCCGACCCCCACCCCCCGCAAGCACCCCTCGCCCATCCACCGGCGGCGTTGGCCTCCTCTGCTCCCGCCTGCTGCGCCCCGCCGCCGCGCTCCTCCCTTCCCCTCCCCCAGCCCGCCGCCGGCCGCCGACGCTCCCCCGCTCTGCGAGCCCGCTCCACCCCTCCCGTGCGTTGCCATCGCCGTCGCTAGAGGCTGCCTTGTCATCGCCCCGAGGGCCGCGATCAGCACCCGTGGCGCCCTCTCCACACCCCGCCGCGGCTGGTTCTCCCCTCGAGCCACACTCCCTGCCGCGCCAGCCGCTGCAGCTCGCCCTCGGAGAGGGTGTCTCGCCCCGCCGGCGCGACTCGCCCCTCATCTTGCGGGACGCCCCTCGCCCCGCCGCAGGAGGAGCTCGGCGAGGCGCGATGCACGCGCGAGGAGCTGCTCTGGTGAGGGGGAGGGGAGAGCCGCGTGTGCGCGCACCGCGTCTGCCTCAACGCTCTGCGTGCGTGCGTGCGTGTGCGCGCGCGGATAGCACCGCGCCGAAGGGAGATCCGCGCGCCGCTCGCTGGCTCGCTCCGCCTCTCGTCCGCACCCCCGCCCCCCCTCCCATCCCTCCCCAGGCTCCGAACCCTCGAGCGGTATGGCTCGACCTGCAAGCACTGGGCCGCGGCGCGCTGCGCGACGGACATCCCCGAGGCGCCGACCTTTCACCCGACGGAGGAGGAGTTTGAGGACTACGGCGCGTACGTCCGCTCCCTGCTGCCCAAGATCTCGCGCTACGGCATCTGCAAGGTCGTGCCGCCCGCCGGGTGGAAGCCTCGCCCCTGGTCTGGCGCCCCGCCGCCCGGCGCATCGAGCTCAGCAGTCGTGACGCCGGGCGGCGGCTGGCACGGCGACAGCGCGGTGGAGGCGGCGTGCCACGGCCTGAGCGGGAGCGCGGACGCGGCGGGCGGCGACGTGGCGGCGGCGGAGATCAAGGTCTCCCCCCGCGTCCAGATGCTCTCACTCTTCAACAAGTCGTTCGAGCAGTACGCGGACACGCTGACGCTGCGGCAGTACCGCGACCTCGCCGACGCCGTCTGGCCGGCCTGCGCCACGCCGGCGGCCGCGCAGCAGGCGGGCGCGCCGCCGGTGTGCGTGGGGGAGGCGGAGGCGCAGTTCTGGGACCTGATGGCGGGCTCGGCGCCCAAGGGCTTCGCCATGTACAAGACCAAGCTCCGCATCGAGGCGCGCGCGTACCAGGCGCATGTGCAGCGGATGCAGCCGCTCCCGCCCGGCGGGCAGGCGGCGGCGGTGCACGCGCCGGGGCCGCGCAACCTGCTGGCGCGGGTGCTGCCGGAGCTGCCGTGGGAGCTGCAGGGCGCCGAGCCGGTGCTGGCGCGCCCCGCGGCGCCGCCGCCGCCGCGCCACGACGCCGCGCCGCCGCCGCTGCGGGCCGAGGCGTCGAGCGACGAGCCTGCTCCGGCCGAGGCGGCGCGAGCAGGCGAGGCGGCGGAGGAGGCGGACGGCCAACGCAGCAAGCGGGCGTGGACGCCCGAGGACGACGAGGCGGTGCTCGAGAGCCGGCGCGTGGGCGCCACTTTCAGCGAGATAGCAGACTACCTCGACCGCACCATGGCGGCAGTCAAGGCGCGGTACCACCAGGTCCTGCGCCCGCGCGCGGGAGGCGGCGGCGAGGGCGGCGAGGGCAGCGGCGAGAGCGGCGGCGAGGGCGGTGGCGAGGGCGTCGGCGAGGGCAGCGGCGGCGGCGATGGCAATGACAGCGGCAGAGCCAGCGGTGTCTCGCCCATGGAGGAGGAGCCGCCTGCACCGCTAGCTGATGAGGCGGCGGCGCTGGCTGCAGCGGCCGCCGCAGCGGCCGAGGCGGCGCAGGCGGCGGCCGTGGGGGTGCCTTCTCCGATGCCATCCCCTCCCGGCTCGCCGCAGCCGGAGCCGCAGGTGCTTCCCGCGGCACCCCAGCCCGTGGCACCCCAGCCCGTGGCACCCCAGCCCGTGGCACCACAGCCCGCGGCACCCCAGCTTGTGGCGGCGGCGGCAGCTGGGACGGCACCAGCGAACGGGGCGGCCCCGGCTGCTGCGCCGCCCGGCAGCCTCCAGGGCGGCTGGGTGCGCGTGCACTCGCTCAAGAAGAACCCTGACCTCAACGGCCAGATCGGGAAGGCGCATGCTTACATCGCCGAGACGCGGCGGTATCACGTGAGCGACGCGCCAGACCGGAGGCTGCGGCGTGGGGGCCTCCGCTCTGAGGTGCCCGCGACTCGACTGTAGGTCCAGCTACGAGGCTCCCAAAAGATGCTCGCCCTCAAGCAAGCCAACCTCGAGGCGGCGCCGCCCCCGACCAAAGCGCCGCCGCAGGGACACGCCGCCACGGCGGCCACCGCGCCAAACGGAGGGAGGCCGGCCACTGCCGCCGCGCCCAGCGCCGCGTCCAACGGAGGGACGCCGGCGGCGGCCGCCGCGCTGCCGCCGCTGCCGCCGCGCCCAGCGCCGAGCAAGGCGCCGCGCCCACCCGCTCAAGCCGCCAAGGCCGGCTGCGACGCGTGCAAGGGGAAGCACCGGCCGCACACTTGCGGCAAGACGCGGCCGGTGAAGAAGGCGGCGCCGCCGCGCGCGGACGCGGCGGAGAGCGCGTCGCCCTCGAGCAAGCGGCAGCGGAGGAGCAAGGACGAGGTCGAGGCGGAGAGGCCCCGCTGCTCCACCCCCGGCTGCGAGCTCCTCCGCTGGCACATCGGGCCCTGCTCCTCGGAGAGCTGTGGCCCGCAGAGCGCCGCCGCGGCATCCGACGGCGCGCGGGGGCCGCGGCCGTCGCGCCGCGCCGCGCACAACAAGAACTACCGGCTCCTCGCGGACGAGATCGACGAGCGCGAGTACGGCCTGGCGCCCGAGCCCGGCAGGCGGTCGCTCGGCGCGTGGGCCGCAGAGGACGAGCGGTCGAACCAGCGGGCCGCCCTCCTGTCAGCGGTGCCGCCGCCCGCCGCGGCGGCTGCTGCGCACGCCGCGGGTCCTTCAGTGGCCGGTGCCGCCGCTGCCGCAGCGCCCGGCGACAGCGAGGGCTTGAAGCGCGCTTTGAACGCTCTGCAGACGCAGTCGCTCGGGGCGCCGTGCTCGCTGTACGCGTCGGACATCCCGTATGGAGGGCCGGACCCGGCGGTGGACGTTGAGGCAACCCCCTTGGGCCCCCCCCCCCCCCCCCCTCCTCCCTCCCTTCCCGCCTGGCCCTCTCCGCCCTTTCGACCCCCCGCCCCCTTTCCCTTCGTCGCTTTAGGCCGGCGAGCTGACCTCGACGAGGACGCGGTCGGGCGTGATGGACTCGCTGCTGCGCCACTCGCTGCTCCGCTTCTCGCCCCTCATCCCGGGCGTCAACTACCCGATGGTCTACATCGGCACGCGAAACACCTTCTTCTGCTGGCACGTCGAGGACAACCTCCTCTACGCCACGAACTACGTCGTCGCGGGCGCGCCAAAGGTCTGGTACGGCGTGCCCCTCTCGCACATGGAGGCGATGGAGGCCGTCTGGAAGTCCTCCTTCCCCAGCCTCTTCGCGCGCAACCCCGACCTGCAGTACTGGAAGACCTCCATCTTCTCGCCGGCGGTGCTCGCCGCGGCGGGCATACCCGTCTTCCGCGCCGTCGCCGAGCCGGGCACCTTCATCTTCACGGAGCCCGGAGCCTACCACTGCGGGTTCAACACAGGCGCCCCAGCCTGACCCCCTCCTCTGCCTGACCTCTCGGCCTCTGTCGCGAGTCCCGCACGGGCCCCTGTCTCTTTTGGCCGCCAGCCGACCCCGCTCCCCCCCACCACCACCACCACCACCCACACGCCCCTCCACTCACAGGCACGCTCTCTCTCTCTCTCTCTCTCTCTCTCTCTCTCGCTCGCTCGCTCGCTCGCTCGCTCGCTCGCTCGCTCTCTCTCTTTCTCTCTCTCTCTCTCTCTCACACACACACACACACACACACACACACACACACACACACATACACATGCACATGCACACACACATGCACATGCACATGCACACACACACACACTCCCCGGCAGGCTTCAACGTCGCCGAGTCGACAAACTTCGCCTTTCCCGACTGGCTGCCCGTCGGGGACAAGGCGCTCGCCCGCTACCGCACGCCGCCGACGCGCGACTCGACGCTGCTGCACGACGCGCTCCTCTGCGTCGCGTCGAACCGCGGCACGCCTCTCGAGCTGCGCGCGCTCCTGCCGCACCTCCGCGCCGCGCTCGGCAGGGAGACGGAGGCGCGCGCTCGCGTCGCCGCCGCTGGCGTGCGAACGCCTCCCGAGTCGGACGAGGCTGCGGCGGGCGAGCGGCCGAGCGAGTGGGACCACGCAGCGGCGGAGCGCGACGGCTGGCGCTGCCGCGTGTGCCGCCACCTCTGCTACTTTTCGGTGGTGCGGTGCGGCTGCGCGGGCAGCTTTTACCTCTGCGCCGAGCACGCGACGCACACCTACGAGGCGGGCGAGGCGCAGCCGAGCGGCTACATCCACTACGACGAGGACGAGTCGCTCGACGTGAACGTGCGCGAGCAGTCCCACCCGCTCGAGATGGCGCGCCGCTTCGCCGGCAGCTCCGGCCCAAAGGAGTGGCGACCCGCGCTGTCCATCGCCGCGCCGTCGCAGCAGCAGCAGCCACCGCCGTCGGCGCCACCCTCGCCTCCTGCGCTGCCATCGCCGCCCGCCAGCCCGCCCGCGCTTCCAGAGCCGCCGGCGCAGACACCAGCGCAGCCACCAGCGCAGCCGCCGACGCAGCCGCCGCTGCCGACGCAGCCGCCGCTGGCAGCGGCGCAGCTGCCGGCGCAGCCGCAGCCAGCGGCAGAGACGATGATCGCTCGTTTCTCGTGCAACGGCTGCGGCAAGAAGCTCAAGGCGCGCGTGCCTGCGGGCGTGCGCAAGATCTCGACCGCGTGCGCAAACTGCAAGAAGCAGATTGTGACGGTCCTCGCCCCCGTCGCGCCGCCCGCTGCCATCCCTCTCGCTGCGGCAGCCGCGCCCGTCGGCAACGGCGCCGCGCCGGCTGCGCATCCAGCAGGGCGCAGCATGGGCAGGAGCATGGGAGGAGGAGCGGCGGCGATAGGTGCGGAGTGGCACGCGCAGCCGCGCGCGTGCTGCAGGTGCAGCGTCTCGGAGCGGCGGCTGGTCGTGCGCCATCCGTTGCGCCAGATTCGGCAGCTAGTGTGGCAGAGCGGCGAGGCTTGACCGCGTCTTGAGGGAGAGAGGATGTTTGTCCCCGTAGGCAGCTGATTGAGGAGATGACGGAGCGCGCCGGCCTCGAGAAGACTGAGGGATGACGGGCGCGCGGTCGATTGGCGCCGGGATATCCGGCGGTACTGATATGTAGTGTACGCGAGGCGAATTCTTTAACTTTTGCGGGGTTGGCAACGTAAATGTGTGTACGAGGGTTGTTCCGATTATTGTCCAGCATGCATCATTTAGAAAATTACGTAATGTTCACATTTGTGCGTGATCCCGCGTGATCCCGTGAACGCGCATCGAATCGATGGCATCGCCTTCCCGGATCCGCCATCCGGCATCCGCCCCGAAGCGCCCGCGAGCGCGAACACTCGTGCATAAACAATAGTCATAGATACCCGGACACCTCGGAGCTCGGTTTTCCATAGGCTATTAAATAGTATTTAAAACCGGGGCATAGGGTTTCTGATGTGCGGTTTCCCATGGGCGCTCTGTTGACTGTTTTTCGACTGGGGTAGGGACTTCCCGACCCGCCTCGACTTGACTTCCCGGATCTCTGCTGTGTGGGTGTTGGTTTCTGCGGTGTGAATACACATCGCTCCCGCTTCGGCCTAATGGGCCAGCTCCAACCAGCCACGCTATACAGCCGCTCGCCGCGCCTTGGTCCCAGCGGGCCGGCGCGGCCTCCCGCCCCCGGACAGCAGCCCTGCGGGGGTGGGCTCAGGAGGCGGGCTGCTCGACGGCCAAAGAGGCGGGTAGAGAGTAGCCCGCTTGCAGCCCCACCGCCGGGGGTAGCTCGCCGCTCAGGTGCGGCGGTGAATAGGTGGCGGGAATTCAATATAGGCGCCTGGGGGGGCAGAGAGAGCACTGAGGGAGCGTCCTGGAGGTGGTGCCCTCAAGATCGCCGCGCGCTTTGCCGCCACTGTGAAGGTACTCAAAACACTCGCACACTTTCACGCTCTGCCTTTCTTTATCGGAGCAGAAACCAGAAACCACTAACCACAAACCAGAGTGCCTGATAGTGAGATTGGGCTCCCGGAGATGGGCTCCCGCGGACGCGACACACACAAGGCGCGGAGAGACACGCACGCACGCTCTCACAATCTACGAGTACTGTTCGAACTACTTTCGACCGCCTCTCCCCTCGCCCCCCTTCCTGCCGTCGCCGCCCCCACCGCTGCCACTGGCATTGCCCGACCCCTCTCTTGCCCCGACCAGGCTACGAAAGCGATCAGAGAAGCCTCGAATGACGCTCTCCGCCGCATCAAGGGCTCTGCGTTTGGCGTAGTCAGCCACCGCTCTGCCGACTGCGCGGCCAGCCTCGGCCGCCATCCCGCGCAGCGCGGCTTGCATCTGCTGCTGCGCCCGCTTCATCGCCTCCTCCTCATCCTTTGTCATTGCACGCCGCGGACCGCCCCCAGAGCTGAAGGGCCCCGGCCCGCCGAACGGGTTGCCCCCGGCCCCTAGCTCCTCCTCCACCACTTTCCTCTCGCCGTCCGGCCCCACTGTCGTCGTCCGGAGCCGCAGGCGCCCGTCCGGGCCTTGGAAGACCTCCTGGTGGAACCTGGCCGAGGAGGGACCTCGCCCGCGCCCGCCTCCAAAGCTGCCGTGGACACCGACGTTTCCGGGAAAGCCTTCGCGGAAGAGCTCTCGGAAGAGCCTCTCCGCGTCCTGTTCGGTGAAGGCGCCCGATCCTCCGAAGCCGCCGCCTGGGAAACCTCTGCCGCCGCCAGGGCTTGCGTGAGCGTGAGCCGCGCCGCCGTCGCTCAGCCTCGCAAACGCCTCGCTGACTGCCTTGAACCGCTTCTCCGCTCCCTCCCGGTCGTCAGGATTGCGGTCGGGGTGGTGCTTCATGGCGAGGCGGCGGTAGGCCGCCTTGATCTCGTCTTTGCTCGCTCCAAGCTTGACCCCGAGTACGCGGTACGGGTCGGCGCCGAGGCAAAGGCCGCGGCGCTGCTGGAGACCGCGCGAGGAGGCGGCGTTGAGTCGGCAACCGACTCGGAGTCGGCTTCGTAGTCGTCGTAGCATTGAGATGCTCCGGTCTCGCGCCTCGCGCCTCCAAGGGGCAGGCCGGAAAAAGAATTCTGCCTTACCTCGCGACACTAGGCATACCTAAAACTAGGCCGGGACTGGCGCTCAGTAGGAAAAGAATTGAGTTCGCCGCTGTAGGCTACGCCGTGGGTAGGGGAACCCACGACGGCAACGCCGTTCCTGAGGGAGGGTGTAGAGGATGTAGAGTGTAGAGCGCTGTAGAGCTGTAGAGCTGGAGAGCGCTGTAGAGCGCTGTAGAGCTCTAGAGCTCTACATCCGCCGCGTGACGATGCGCCTGCGTTGTAGAGCGATGTAGAGGCGCTCTACAACGTGAAATCTCTCCCTACAACAAACTCCAAAACTCCACAGCACATGCTTATGACATGCACATGTACATGTGCATGCAAGCTGCGAAGAGGCACGGTCGCTCTCCGACATGAGGCGCGTTGAACTTGCCAGTGCTGCCCTGGCCTTCTGCAGTCTGCCCTCCCAATGGGTGGCAGGTGCCTCTGCTGCTGTGGCATGCCTCACGGCTGCGACTGGCCGGCGCCTGCCCTCGGCGCGTCAGCTCGGCTCGGCGCAGCGATAGTGGCCAGCGCAACTCGCCTGGACTCAACGCTCAGCCAGGAGCTCCCGCACGCGCTGGCGCGAGTCATGGCGCATGCAACGCGTCTGAATGCTCGCCTCGCCTCGCGCAAATGCGACCGTCCTCGCAGCCGACAGTCCACCGCCTGCTAAAGAAGCACAGCGACGAATGCGGCACCGGCGACGCATGGCAGGCTGGTCATGACGCAGTCATAGGGTGTTGTGTGTCGTCAGAGTGACTCTCTGTGTGTCAGGGATAGTCAGGGCCGTCCATCAGAGCTCCAGTAAGCTCGGAGACACCCCATTAGTGCGGCTCGACCTCTTTGAGTCACTGCCTTCCCGGCGGGTTGGCTGTAGAGCCTCTACAACAAACTCTACAACAAAATCGCGCTCTACATCGCTCTACATCGGACTCACATCGTCACGCGCCGGATGTAGACTACTACCCGCTAGAGGGAGGGGACCGTGAGTTGAGGAAATCGGAGGACGCGACCCACTTCGCCACAGACGGTCCCGCGCCTCGCCGCTAAGTTTGCGGCACGCCACGCACCGTCCGCTGTGCCGCGTTTTTTGTCCGGAGTGAAAAGTCCAACGCGCTCGTCGGTGACGGTGTCCTCCAACCTGCGCCGCGCTCGGCGAACCTCAACAGCGCCTTCGATGGCATGCAGCTCTTTGCGCCTGAAGCTTGGAGAGCAGCTCCTCTGCTGTTCACACACTCTGCACAGTTGACACAGCCTACTGTGCGGCTGCCACAGCTGTGACAGCGATGGGCTCGCCCTCACTGGCCCTCAGTCACTTGTGCTGCGGCTTGTGTGAGCGACACTGCTCGGCGACTGCCGGCACACTGTGAGACCATGGGTGTGAGGTAAAACCACGCTACCAGCGCTTGGTCACATCGGCCCCGAGGTCAGATCCTTCTACTCTGTTAGTGACAAGACTTGTCTACTGGCTGGAGCCGAGCAGGAGGGCCAGGCGCACAACCCCTGGTCAACTCACGGACACGGTCCACACCCCGTACACGTACTTACATTCATTCATTTTTTTGCCCCTGGGTGTGAGGTTGATGCACATGTGGGTTGATGCCGACCGCACTCCAAGTGCTCCAAGTGCACAAGTGTGCGCACGCCGACCTCCGGTACGGCCTGGCGCCGAACCTGTCGGACCTCAAGACAGCGTTGTACATCCCTTGGCGAGGGCGGTGGAGACTCACACAGCTCACAGGCGTGGGCCTACTCAGACGCGCGACACCACGGCAAAAAGCCGCACTCGATCGCCCACGCCGTCTCGCCGCCATCGAATCCCCGGCCCGGTGCGTCGTGTACGCACACGCGCAACGCGGGGCACGGCGCCGCTCCCTCGCCACCGGCGACAAACGCGCGAGCGAAGCTCTGTGCGTCGGCGTCGATCGACCCGCAATCAGCGTCGCTGCGGCACAGGTGCAGCTCTCGCAGCGAGGAGCAGCCGCGCAGCGGCGCGAGGGCGCGGGCGACTCCGCCCGCCGGCAAGTCATCATTGTCGTACCACTCGATGAGGAGCCGTTCGAGGGCAGGGAAGAGGGCGGCGGTGTATGCGGCCGCCATGTGCAGCGCGCAGTCGTCGGCGAAGCCCGCCGCGGAGACGACGCCGGCCGCAAAAGCATCGACATCCGCCCGCCCAGCGCCTAACGGCCGTGTCGCGGCCGTGTCGCGGAACAGTGGCGGACGCCGCTACGCGTGCTGCCGCCCGGCACGCGCCAGGTGAGTTTGTGAAGAGGGCGAGGTCGCGCAGGCCGGCCGCCCAGCGAGGCGGGCCCCTCCCCTCGTCGCAGAGCGCGCGGAAGAACGCGAGCGGGTCGAGCCAGGAGCACTCGACTGCACCGAGAGACTGCAGGCTCGGGGGGAGGGCGCGGAGCAGCGCCGCCGAGTCGTGCAGCGCGAGGAGCGACGAGAGCGGCTCGTGCCCCATCTGGAGCACCCTGAGCCGCGACCAGCTGCCAGAGGCGCGGACAAGGGGCCTGCGCGCGACAGGTGGGCGGTCAAGCGGGCAGCTGGCCGGCTGGCGACCTCGCGAAGCGGGCCCTCTCTCGCCCCGCGAGGCAGCGAGGCAGCCCCCCCGCGCTCAGCAGCACCAGCTCCTCGAGGGCGTCTCCGCCCAGCGAGAGGGCGAGGCTCTGCCTCCCGCCTCGCGCCGCCGCCTCTTCTTCGCTCACGAGGTCGAGCCTACAGGTGCAAGGGCAAGGGGGAGGGGTGAGGGGTGAGGGGTGGCGCCCCTCGCCTCCGGAGGTCGACGAGCCCGTCCAGCTCCGCCTCCTTGAAGCCGAGGCCGAGCCGGCGAGGCGGCCCCGCCCGAGGCGCCTCGAGCAGCGCCGCAGGAGCGCCCTCCCGCCCGCCCGCCCAGAAGAGCGTCTCGAGCGGGAGCGCGGCCAGGCCCTCGACGAGCGCGGTGCCGCCGTCGCCGCCCCTGCCCCCTCCAAAGGTGCACTCCCACAAAGTGAGCCGCTGCACGTGCGCCAGCATCTCGCCCAGGTTCGGAGGCAGGGCGCATCGCGTCAGAGTGACGGCGCGCAGACGCCCGGGCCTCGCGCTCGCCAGCTGAGGGACGAGGCGAGGCAGCAGCGCGCCCAGGTCGCTGCGCCGGTGGAGCCGGAGCGAGCGCACGGCGGCGCGCGCGGCCGAGCGCCGGTGGGCCAGCTGAGCCAGCTCGAGCGCGTCCGAAAGCCGGCTGGAGAAGCGCGAGAGCGTCGCGACGTCGGCATGCACCGAGACACGGCACGCGACACAGTCGTCGACCGGGTCATAGAGCATCCTCCCCACACCGGCGAGCGCCGTCGGCCACTTGTCGCACTCCAGGTCCACCGCCAGAGTGGTCTCGGCCTGGAGAAGCGCCGCGATCCGGCGCGAGGCACGCAAGAGAGCGACGCGAACCGCCGGCGTGTGCGGCCGCGCCGCTCGAAGCACCTTGCGCAAGAGGTCGTCGGAGAGCCGGTCGAGGTGCGGCGTGGGCTCGGGCGGAGGCGGTGACTGCATATGTGCACGTAAACGCACAACCCCGGGCCCGAAATCGCACAGGAGTCACGCAACAGGGAAGGCGAGCAAAATGACACACAGAAAAAGAAAAAATACTTAACGCAGGATGGGGGAGGACGACAGGGTCCACACCTGCACGAGCAGGATTTTGGAAGGACGATCAGGGGCACAGGTGGGGCTCTCCTGCTCCTGACAAGGGACACGACAGGCTCGCAGCGCGGTGCACGGTGGACTCCCAACTCCACTGGCGGTCTCATCTCAGTCTAGCGACCTGCCTCCAGCTTCTGGCAGTCTCTCGCAACCACAGGCACACTGACACAGGGGTGGCAGGGGCGGCGGCAGGAGTCTCCCACATACTATGCGGGCCTCGCTAGAGGTGCGTCCTGTGTGTGTCCTCGCCCTTGAGGGTCTTGAGGGGGAAGGGGAAGGGGCTGTTTGTCTGTGCATGCATGCATGCATGCATGCATGCATGTGTGTGTGTGTGTGTGTGTGTGTGTGTGTGTGTGTGTGTGTGTGTGTGTGTGTGTGTGTGTGTGTGTGTGTGTGTGTGTGTGTGTGTGTGTGTGTGTGTGTGTGTGTGTGTGTGTGTGTGTGTGTGTGTGTGTGCAGGCGCTGTGCGAGCCGCCCCGAACGACCACATGGTGAGCGCGCCCGAGCACCGAAGCCCCGCGAGCGCCCGGTAGTAGATGATGCGGCGCCCAGCATGCTCTATCATGCGTCGCACCCACGGTGGCCGAGCCGACCGCCGTTCGAGCCTTCGACCTGGCACCGAGATCCGAAGTGGCTCCCACGTCCCAGATTCGAGCGCGGCAGGCTCAGGTTTCGCGCAGAACCGACGACCACCAGGGATCCAAGGCGCAAGGGCTATCTTGCACGACTGGCCGCGCCTGGCACGCAGGGTTCCAACTTTTTTGCGGGGCACGGTATATGGAACACAGCACACTGGCGCCACAGAGATCGCAGGTTCAAACACTCTTCGCCAGGGCGTCGATCGCATCGAGAGTCCCGAAGACGGCGCCGACCGACGCAAAGGCGACGATGAGGCCGTTCCACGCAACCTCGAGCGGGTGCATGCCCCGCACGCCGCGCAGCTTGAGGTAGAAGGCGGAGGGGAGGAGGAAGACCGTGAAAGTGGAGGTGCAGGAGGAGACGAGGTCGAGGAGCGGCCCAAACCTGTGCGGCACGCGTACATACAGGTGTGATTGCCACGCGTAGCGACAGTCCGGACGCCGGGGAGAGCGCGCCCACCGCTCGGGCGTGCGCACGAGCAGCGCGACGGCCGCGGTGAAGGCGACAAAGGCCGAGCGGACGCCGATGCGCCAGAGGAGCGGCGCGGCTCTGCTCTCCACGCGCAGGAGGCCCTCGAGCGCCGCCTCAGGGGTGATGGCGAGGAGGGGGTACGACAACACCAGGTGCGCGGTGATGGCGGCCGTGACGATGCGCACGGCGGGCGAGCCGGCGAGCGGCGGCGTGTCCATGACCGGCGAGCGGACAGCGTCGCCGTAGCGCGCGTAGCAGACGGCTGAGATGGGGAGGTAGAAGAGCAGAGTCCCTGCCATCGAGGCGACCACGGTGCGCGGGTAGAGGCGCGGGCTGCGCATCGAGGCGCGGACGGAGGGGAGGACGGGGTGGACGCCGTACGCGAATCCGAAGGAGGCGAAGGCAGAGCCGAAGGCGAATGCGTCGCTCGCGACGAGGGCAGTGCGCGGGGGCGAGGCGGGCGGTCGCTCGAGCGAGGCGGCGACCACGGTGCAGAGGAGGGCGACGTTGACGGCGATGTTGAAGTACGAGAGGAGGGCGACCTCGCCGAGCGTCTTGAGGAAGACGTGCAGCCACACGAGCGCTGCGACCAGCGCCACGGAGGCGGCCATGCTCAGCGAGTCCGCCGCGAGGGAGTGGATGTTGAGCGCCGCGAGGAGGTGGTACACGATCGCCACCCCGACCAGCGTGATGTGCACCTGCGAGTTGACGAACCACCTGCCCGGCCTACCACACACACACACCGGACCTCTGCGCAGGGAGGACGCGGTGCAAGAGACTCCCTCCAACCTAGACTCCTAGAGGCACACCGGCCATACGCAGCCTCGCCGAGGTCGCCGTACGAGACGCTGCTCGCGCCGCGAGGAGGAGGAGTCGCGCGGCTCGCGAGGGAGGCGCGCATTCCGCCCGCACGCCGCTCCTCCTCCTCCACGAGCACGATGCAGCGGCCGAGGAGCGCGGCGGTGTAGGTCGCCATCGCAGCCATCAGCACGAGGAGCGGCACGCCGACCCACCCGGAGCGCGAGACTGCGTACGGGAGGTTGAGCAGGCCGGTGCCCACGACGATGCAGAGAATGTTGAAGCTGGCGCCGAGCGCTGAGGAGGTGCCCGTGCCCGCCTCGCCCGCCGCGGAGGCCGCCTCGTCCTCACGCTCGCCCGCGCCGGCTGATGGCGTGGCGCCCGAGCGTGCCCATGCCGACACAAGCCGGGCCGCCCTCGAGCCCCAGCGTCGGCCGGAGGGAAAGGTCTGGGGTTCGCCTTCCCGTGCTTCGCCGGCGGCCTCGTCGGCAGCCTGACACTGCGGCGTGGCGGGACCGCTCTGCGCTCCGCCCGGAGAGTTGAGGACGAGAGGCGCGGTGAATGCGCGGCGCGAACACGTGGCGGGCTCGGCACTGATTCTCCGCATCAAGCGCATTCGCTATCCGCTCTCAGATGGACCAGGCAGGAAGCAGTGGGTGGGAACAGATGAGCTGAGGTGGCTAGCTTGCGTCGAGGAGGCGCCGTATGGTACACATAAAATTGCAAAGGAGTCAGAGAAAGCAAGTCGTGAAAAAGAAAACAGTGCGACATGCCGGCACAGCTGCTCCAGCTCCACTGCAAGGCCTTCCTCGAGCTCGACCTGTGGCGCGAGCGGCTGCGCGGCCGCGTGCTCATCACGCTGCGCGCGCCGCTGCCGCCGGAGCTCTGCCTCAACCTCGGCAGCAGCGCGTCAATCGAGGCCGCTCGGCTGACGCCGCACGGAGGCCGCACTGTCACCCTGAGCCCAGAGTCGCTGCCGGTGCGTGCGCTGGTGGACGAGGTGGTGCCGCAGCGCTGGAGTGCGACGCGCGACGCCGGGTCGTTCGAGCGCTGCCACGGCGCCGCGCTGCACGCATCGGGCGATGGCGACGTGCGGCTTCGGCTGCCCGCGGAGCTCGCCGAGGCCGCGGGCGGCGAGGAGGCGGCGGAGGGCGGCGCCGTGCTCGACATCGAATACACAGTCGACGAACTCAGTGGCGCCATCCACTTTGCTCGGCGCGTGCGCGGAGGCGCCGCCGCCTACGCCCACACTGTGCCGCAAGCGGGCGCCGTCCGGCGCTGGCTGCCTTGCGCCGACGTGGCGACGGCGCGCTGCTCGTATGAGCTCCACCTGGCACTCGCCGAGCCGCCCGAGGGTGCCTGCCCCTCGCCAGACGCGCGCCCGCGAGTGGTGGCCTTTGGGAGCGGCACTCGCGTCGGGCCTCCGCCCTCGTGGCCGCCAGAGTGGTTTGGCGGCGGCTCCTCGTCGTCCTCCTCCTCCGCCGCCGCCGCCGTCGCGCCGTGGGCGCACTGGAGCTGGTCACTGGAGCGGCAGGCGCTCGCGAGCGAGGTGGGCTTCCTCGTGGGCCACGAGGCGGCGCTGCAGAGCTGCAGCCACCCGACGGAGGCCGGAGTGACGCTGGCGCTCGGCAGCCTGCCCGCCGCTCGCGAGGCGGCCGCCCTCGGGCCGGAGGCGCTGGCGGGGCGGGTGCGGGGTCGGTGGCCGCACCTGCTCTACCTCTCCCGCAGCCTGCCGACCATGCTCGCAGAGCTGAGGGCCTTCCTCTTGCCGCCGCCGCCCGCAGACCTCGCGGCTGCGCGAGAGGAGCCGGCCGCCGCCTCGGCTGCGCAGGCACTTGCAAATGGGGCGCTGCCCGCGCTGCTGCGCCGAAAGTGTACCCGCGTCGTCCAGTTCTTCTCTGGCCCGCAACCGTACGCGACGCTCGCCGAGTCGGGCGGTGCGCTGCGGACGCCTGTCGGCGGCTTGGAGGCCCGGTACACCAACTCGCTGATGGTGGGTCGATGCATGGTCAGGCGCGCTGTGGAAGCCCGTCGACTCGCACATCTCCTCCTTGTTTGGCATCCGCAAGGACGAGCGGCGGATGGGCGGCTACGCCTACTCGCAGAACAAGCTCTTCGAGGCGCGAGATGCAACCGGGATGCAGCCGAGATGCATCCGAGATGCAGCTGAGATGCAGCCGGGATAAGCCGAGATGTAGCCGAGATGCAGCCGAGATGCAGCCGGGATAAGCCGAGATGTAGCTCTTCGAGGCGCCCGCCGTCCGCGAGGAGAGAGCGGCGGGCGCCCCTTCCGCGAGCGCGTCTCTCGGGCCGTAGGTGTCCGCTTTCCGCGAGATGTAAATAAATAAATAAATAAATAAATAAGTAGGTGTCCGCCTTCCGCGAGATGTAATTAATATATAATATTAGGTGTCCGCTTTCCGCGAGATGGTCGCGCAGTTCGACAGCTGCCGCGCCGCCGGCCGGCCTCTCATCGCCGAGCTGCGCGGGATCAAGGCGCCTTCGAGACCGACCCTCCGCCGCCGAGCCAGCCCCCGGCGGTGACGGGCTGGTCAGCAACCCCCTAGGTGCTCGAAAACGACTTTTACGGCGTCGAGGCGTACGGGCCGATCGACTTGGTCGTGCACTACATGGACGCGCCGAAGCGCTTCACCGAGACGGTGCCCGCGTGCTCGTCACACCTCTGCGTGTGTGATGGGCGCCTCTCACGCTCCCAGCCGTGAATAGGTGCCCGACGACGTGCTCGCGCTGGGGGGCGAGACATTCCCGATGCTCGCGTCGGGAGGCGGCTACACGTGCGCCCAGGCCAACCTGGTCGCAGACATGGTGGCGTGGTCTGTCCTCTCCGAGGCGGACAAGTTCCGGTTTGACGAGACGCGCACCTAGGCACGCCGGCGGGCTCCGGGGATTGTAGATCTTCGCCAACGTCTACGGGATAGCTAGCTGATCTGCGAGCCTAGGACTTAGAGCCACGTACTACGTCTACAGTGGGTTGCGGGTATTAAGAAACCCGCTTACCATTAAGAAACCACGCCGAGCGATTGCGCTCGAGCCCAGGTGCCAGGCCCCAGGCGTGGAGGCACACAGCGCGCGCTCGCCCGCTCAGCCACACACGAGAACGCGCGAAACCGCTCAATGCGCGCCTCTTGCCACTCTCGAATCCGCCCGCGCAGCGCGTGGTTTGGGAAGGTGTGCGTGTGCTGGAGCGCCTCGCCCGTCATCGGGGGCTCGTCGACTTGGTCGCGAGCCAGCGCTCGATCTGCTTCCGCTCGTAGGAATGGCCGTCCGCCGCCATCACCGGGTCGCTCATCACCTCGGTCGTGATGGGGCAGATGAAGTCGGCCGGCGGCGCATCCGGCTCGGGCGGCTGCTCCTCCGCCACCCGCCTCTCCTCCTCCAGCCTCGCGCTCTCCTGAAGCGCCGTCGCCAGCTCCGCCTCCTCTGCTGCCGCCACCGCCTCCCCCTCCGCCGCCGCAAGCGCCTCCGCCTCCTCGCCTTCCGGCTCCTGCGACGGCCCGCCGCCGCTCCCCCCGCCCTTGCCCTTCTTCTTCTTCTTCTTCTTTTTGGCCTTGCGCTCCTTGGCGCGCTGCTCCGCCTCCTTCTCCGCCTCCTCATCCGCCAGAAGCGCTTCCGCGTGCCGATCCGCCTCCGCAGCCGCCTCCGCCATCTCGGCCTCTCTTGCCGCCGCCTCCGCCGCCCTAGCTTGGGCGCGCATGCTCGCGGGCGAGAGGCGGACGACGGTGGTCGTGGGTTCGAAGGCCTTGTCACCGATCTCGGCGGTGGTTGGCACGGTGACGTTGGTGAGGGAGGAGCAGCGGTGGAAGGCGCCATCTTCGATGGAGAGGAGGCCGGCGGGGAGGGTGACGGAGGTGAGGGAGTCGCAGCAGGAGAATGCGCTGCTGCCGATGCAGGTGAGGCTCTGGACACCACGCCCAAACACAGACACTTGCTTAGTCCTCGGTCCCGGGGCTCCACCTTCGGTCCTCCCGGGGCTCCGGTTCTCCCCGATTCGCTCTCTTGCTCGCTTGCCGAGCGTCATACGACGGCCGGTGTGGTCGTTTCCCTCGTTGTTGGTGTCGCTTCCTCCGCTGCCGCCTTTCGTCTTCGCCAGCCTCTCCCAGCTCCACCGGTTCTGAGAGTGTCGACGGCCCGGTCGAGGTCACCCCGGGCGAGAACGGTGGCATTGGGTCGCGCCCAGTTCCATCCCCGGGGGGTCGAGCCCGCTCTCCCTGGTTGTCTCGCGCCCGCACCCGCGGCCTCTCTATCGTCCTCGGCTCGCCCCCCCCCTCCGCCGGCTCCTCTCCAGGCTCGGGGGGGCGTGGCCCTCCCTGTGGAAGGTCGTGATGGTCCGGTTGCCACTGCGACTGGCCTTCCCCTGGTGAGCCCGTACGTCCCGACTCCACTCTCAGAGGCCGCGTCAGCTCATCTCTCGCCTCCTCCGACAAGTGACCCCAAGCCTCCCCCGGGGCCCTCCGGCCACGGCCCTCCGGCTCGCCGGTGGGCCCACTATCGTACCGCGGTAACTCCCCTCCCCCATCTCCTCCGCCCGGATACACCAGCCTCCGGCGGGGCGGTCCCGGACCCCCCAGGTTATTCCGAGCGGGTCCATACGGCGGCGGCCCCGCCGGCGGCGGGGGTGGAGGCGGTGGCAGGGGCGGCGGGTACGGTGGCGGCCCTCGCGGCCCAAACGTCTGGTGTGGAGCCGCTGGGGCGGCCCCACGACCCTGCAGCCGTTCCAGTGGCGGGGGTGGGAATGGCAGTGTGGGTGGCGGAAACGATGGCGGCACTGGCGGCCGCACCGCTTGGTGCAGAACCTCAGGGGCGGCTCCTCGCGCGCGTTCATTTTCACATCCAATGGGTTTGATCGAGTGGGTCCATGAACCACGGTCGTCATGCTTCTGCTGCTGCTGACCTGTCTCCCTGCAGCAAGTCTGCACACAGACAGAGCGGCAGCAACGCTCGTGCACTGGCGGGCGATCGTTGAGCATGCATATGACACCGTCTACCGTCCGCTGAGGGCGGAGTGCACAGCGAACATGAGCGCGGAGGCTTGCCTCATAGCGATGCATGACACGTCAGCGGATGGTTTGTACCCATGGTGGGTGCGCACGATGCTCCGCGACGCGCTCAAACCCGCCACGGGACTCCATGGCGCCTGGCACTCGCTTGGAACAATCCGCCCAGCCCCGACAGCACTGTGCACGATCGAGAAGGTGTCCACGAGCCAGTGGCGCAAGTTTATGTGCTTGCTGCATGGCGGCAGTGATGGTATGGGCGGCGGGTGCTCTTCGGGCTGTGGCGGGTGCTCTCCGGTCCTGGAACATGAGTTGAGGAGGTCTAATTCGGTGCGGCCTGACCAGCTGCGCGCTCATGGCGGAGACCAGAGCTTCCGAGTGCTGCATGACCGCAAGGACTGGCTGACAGTCGTCTTCCTCCGCGACCCTGTAGAGCGATTCGTCAGCGGCTACCTCGACAAGTGCCGCCCCACCATAGCACGGGGGGAGCGGCACTGCGAGCCACTTGGCCTGTACATCAATGGCACGCACAGCGAGTTCATGCGCTTGCTGCCCCACGCCCGCATGCAGCTTGGCTCGTACGTGGATACATTCCCACTCACGTGGAACCTGCACTTCTTCCCGCAATCCCTGTACTGCGACGACCTCGGCAGGAACGCCCATAAATACACGTTTCGTGGGGCGCTCAACGCTTCGCTCGCCGATCAAGTGGGTGCGCTGGGCAGGCTCATCGACGCACGCGCACTGGCCGCCACGCCTGGTTCCGCGCCAAAGCACGTAGGGCAGGGCGCGGCAGCTGCATCGTTTAAAACAGACAACGACAGCGGTGAGCACAAGACGGACGCCGCGGCGAGGCTGGCGGGGCTCGTGGCGACAGAGAGCGCGGCACGGCGACTCCTCGAGTACTATGCGATAGACTACGTTGAGCTCGGCCTCGAGCTCCCAAGCTTCCTGGTCAAGCTACCGCTGCCCGCGCTAAGCCGGTCAGAACGGCGCCTGCTTCGTTTATAGCACAGCGCTGGCTTCTCGTGCGCGCCTATATGCTATAATGCTTTTTCGGCCAGTGCGCGCCTCCCGTGCCCAGTGTCGTGCGAGGGAGCTTTGGGAGAGAGAGAGATTTTTAGCAATACCAAGTGCAGATGTGCAGTCGGTAACCGCACGCCCAGGACCGGGGAGCTCGTGTTGCAAAATTCTTTTTCGCACCTGTGTCGATAAATAAATAAATAAAACCACACACGGGGTGGGAGAAGGACAGGGTCCCCTGTGTCGAGCCTGTTCCCCGCATGGAATTTTTTTAATTCTTTAGCACGCGCCAGTTCGCACCTGTGTCGAGCCTGTCTGCTAGCACAGAGTTCTTTTGTTTACGCCGGCTCTTGTGGCGAGGACGATGGCTTCTAAGGAAGCCGTCGTCTGCGCCTTGTCTGTCGTGTGAATCGTGCGTGTGCGAGAGCCTTTTGTTGTGAAATTCTTTTGTTTAAATTCTTTATCGGCTTCTGCAGCAACACGACGCTCACCTTCTTCCTTCGCGCCATGCCGCCGTCGGTCACCCTCCCGGCCGCTGAGAGGCACGACGAGCTGATCGACGCGGCGCTATACAAGCTCGTCGGCGGGGCGCGGGTCGGCGCCGCCGGCACGCGCTGGGAGCGCGCGTGCAAGCAGGCGCGCCTTCCCGTCAAGATGGGCGGCATGGGCCTCACTAGCGCCGTCGACATCCGCGAGCCGGCGTGGATTGGCACGTGGGCGCTCGTCGCCGGGCCCATGCGCCACCTGCATGCTCCTTTCCGCGACCTCGACGTGAGCAAGGCGCCGGGCTCCGATTTCGACGAGCTGCGGGCGGCGCATGACAGGCTCAAGAAGGAGCACGGCGAGATCGCGGCGACGTGGAAGGAGTGGGACGACAAGACGAAGGCGGAGTACTTTGACCTGGTTGGCGGTACGACAGGCAGGCCCCCGGACGTCGAGGTGGAGCCGTGGGACGGCCCGACGAGGGCGAGAAGCTGCGCGCCTCCGCGCGGCCGCCGGAGCCGGCTACGAGGGTGGCGCTCTCGCGCCCGGCCGCATACTCTCGTCCCGGCCGAGCAGCTGCTGCCCTCGCCGAGTTCACGTCCAAGCACGAGTTCCTACACCAGGCGCAGCGGCGCTTCACGACGGTGGTCCACAACAGGAACTGGCGCGACCTCGCCGAGGAGCTCGCCAAGGAGGGCTCCGCGGGATCGCGGTCTGCTCCTCGCGGCAAGAAGGGCAAGGCGCGTGCCGAGGGCAGGGAACGGGGTGATGCTCTGATAAACCCTCCGGATCTTCGACAAAGGTCGGATATTTCTTTTTTCAAAGTGCAAGGTGTGAATAAGAGGTTTATGATAGGGCTACTACGACGAACTATGCGGCAATCGACTGGGCGCCTGGCGCCCGACCACCCCCGCGCAAAGACCTCGTAGTAGCCCTCCCCGTAACCGACTTGGCCGGAGACGTGTCCTTCCAGGCCGCTGTCGCCGCGCAGAGATCGGCGCGAGCAGTCGCTCGAGGTGCTCTACTGGCTGGCGGTGCTCAAGGGGAAGGCGCACACGCTGGCCGAGGACACGGTCGTCAACACACCGACACCATCCCCGCGGGCTATCTCGTGGTCAAGGCGCAGTGGCTTCAGGCTCGAGCAACGCGAGTGCGAGGGCAAGCTTCGCTCCTACACGCTGCTCGAGGCCGAGACGCTCATCATCGTGAATCACATGGTGCGGCTGGCGGGCTTGCGCTTCTCGCCCGGGCGGCCCTGCGGACCGCCAGCTGAGGAGCGCGCGCGAGAAGCTCTATATTGGCCTACAGAGTACAGACGCATTACTCGCTCGAGGGCGTGCTGCAGTGAAGACTTATTTTGGAGGCGTCGATTTGTGCAAAAATGTGTGTTAGAGTGCGCTAGATGGCAAAATTTTCTTCGCCTCCGGCGGGGCCGCTCGCCGCGGGGCTAGAGAGTGACTTTTGTCGATGTCGGCTAGAAGTGCTGCACGTTTTTCAGAATTTCACCCAACGGGCGAGGCACGCGGCCTGCGCGCGTACGGCCGCTCGTAAGCGCCTCCATCCGGCGTCGTTTTGCGGACAACGATGCTACCGCCGACAATTCCCCTGGCGCCCGACGAGGCACTCACGAGCATCTCGAGACCCTTGATCTCGTGCAGAGCATTTTCAAGCCCGCCGCCTTGGCGCGCGTGACGGCTCGTCGCCTCAAGCACGTCGTCGACGAGCGCGCCGCCGCCGGCCTGCCCGCTTCCGAGCAGACGGCCGACAGCCTTATCGTCCATCGAAGCCGCAAGGCCAAGCGCACTCAGGTTGCAAAGGTGCGATGAGGCGCCGCAAACATCGATGGCGTGCGTGGTGGTGACAGGCGGAGGCTCAGTTTCTTCCTCTTGGAGAAAGCAACGAAGGCCGGCGCCGTCCTCATCGAGTAGGTCAGGAGGAAGGGCATCCGTGTCGCAGCCGACCACGACGAGGCAGGGCCGACCGCCCTCCCGCCCACCGCGCCCGAGCCGCTGCAGAAAGGAGGCCCGCCCGCAAACCGCAAGGTCGGGAACGACGATGAGGTCGACGCCCTTGATGTTGACACCAGCCTCCGCCGCCGACGTGGCGAAGATGACGTGCAGCTGGTTGGCGTTGACCCAGCGGGAGAGCATCGATTCCCCGACTCGGCGGTGCATCTTCGGACAGCTGCCGTTGTACGGCGTCGCAACCACCGTCGAGCCCGCCGCGGCCCAACCCGCCTTCTCCTTCCACTTGGGCGAGTTGACCGTACTCACGAGCTTGCTCGACGCGCGCTTGCTGTCGCAAAAGACGAGAGCGCGCCGAATGGCCACGTTGTCGCCCAAAGACGCCAGCACACTCCGGTGGAGGAGCTTGAGGATGTGCGACTCCTTGAGCGGGCCGTCGTGGAACAGGACGACGCGGTGCCGGCCGCCGGAGTCCGCGTCGTAAATATCGTCGATCATCCCGTCGACCTTATTGGCCGCATCCGCCTCGACGCCCTGCGCCTCCTTGGCCTCGATCACTTCGATCGCGGCCCCGAGGGGCAAGCGCTCGCGTGCAAAAAGCCCGGGTTCGGGGATGGTGGCGCTCGCGAGGATCACCCGAAACTCGGAGAAGTTTGTGGCCGCGGATGACGTGCCCGCCGCGCCCGCCGCGGCCGCCGCGCCCGGCGCGCCCGCCCGCGCCTGCGGGCCCGCCGCGCCTGCCGCGCCCGCGGTGCCCGCCGCGGCAGCGGCGCTTTCCTAGCTTGGGGCATACGGGGC